CATTCATTGAGGTTATTATTGAGCTGATGTATTTGAATTTTTCTACTCTCCGGAATGAATTTAATTTTTCGAATTTTCGGCTTATTAGGGTGGAATTTTCAGCTTATAATCATATATTTTGTTTTTTCTTCATTTACTTGTAGGCTGATCTGCCCTGCCCCTCTTATCGGTGTTGTAATGAGTTTCTCAATGTCTTCTTGAGTAATTCCAAGGACAGCTATATCATCTGCGTATCCAAGGATTTTATGATTCCGACGTGTACCCCTCCATTTTCCTCTGATGTTGCTCTTATTAACTTCTCCAGGGCTAAGTTGAACAACATCGGTCGGTGATAGTCCATTTCCCTGCCATAAGCCCGTTTGAACTTTAAAGGCTTCAGATACTTCTCCATGTATTATGACTCTATATTTAGGGTCATTTGTACATGCCTTTGTCAATAAGTAATGTTACCTACTCTTTATTTTAATGTAAATTTAAAAGTAAAAAAAAGAAAATGTTCTCCTAGTCTTGGCTGGACTCCCGTTACAGAGCTATCCCCCTTTTCCTCCTCGACAGGCATGAGTATTTTATGAAATATCTAATAAAGATAAGGTCTACATTTAATATAATCAAAACTGAATTATTATAAAATTATATTAAAATTTGACTTACCGTAATAAGTTTGAGGGCCTTCATCTTGTTTGGTCTCAACTTTGAGAACTAAAAAAAAAAAAAAATAAAATAGAAAAAAATGATTACATCATCCATTATAATAAGATAGCCAACTTAAGATAATAAGATACTTTCATGAAAATAAAATCATTTAAATTGGAACTGTAATAGAATTAAAAGTGATAAAGAATATTTCTAGGGTCTCCTGTCAATGCAGAGAAATATTTAAAGGGGCGATAGCAGACCTCAAGAGCTACAACAAAGTTTATATAAACAATGGTTCGATTTTCAGCAGGAAAGTAGGAAATTAAAGTTTTGTGTTTTTTTTTAACCCTTTAACGATTTAGACCTATATATGAGTCGAGTTATAAAACAAATAATGTTAACATAAGGTAAGCTTAGGACAGCTTAATCCCCATCACATTGATTTCTTTTTATATATACATGAATAAGAAAAATGTTTGTCAAAACTTTCACTTCTTCCTATAATATCTGGTGAAATAAAAATTATTCTGATGTTTTCCGACCTATAATAACTAACATCCCATGTTCTCTTTAAATTAATAGGTAAACTAAATAAACACAACTCTAGGAATTAAATTGTAGTCTATAAATTGAAGCACTCCTACAATCACAATTAACTTCATAATTTAAATAGCAAAAATGTATAACAAGATATGCTTTCACAACGAGAATGTGACCATAATATATTCATATACACATACATATCTGCATGTGAACATGATTGTCATATGTTCATATGCAGTTAAGTATACTCTGCTACTTTCAGAATTTGTTCTACAGAATGCTCAAAGTGATTTAAAAGCCAGCACATCTTGGATTGGCGATTCGGAATATAATCAATAACTTTTGAGGGATTGAAAAATCTGCAGAGCATGGATCCCTAAACAATATTGGAGTGGACACTAAAAATAAGAATACAATAAAAGATAAACATAAAAAAAGAACTTTTGTCTTAACTCAACTAAAAAGAACTTAAGGACGATTGAAAATAACTATGGAAGAAAGTTTTTCTTACCAATTTTATCCATTTTATTCAACAAACACAAGATAATTGATGAGAAAACACAACGATTTATGACAGGAATCAAATACAAAACAACACCAACGGTCAATTTTAGATGTTTGTCAATGACAGATTGGTTAAGAATCCAAAGAGGTATTTGTGAGAAATTAGTATAAGAAACTGTGAAGTTTATAAGATAAAATATTTTTATCATAAAATAATCGTAATTGTTTCCTTAAAGGTTTTTTTTTTAAGGACTTTTTTGGTTGTTCTTGACCTAAATATTTTCCATTCTTCTCTATCCAAGGCGTGTTCTTCTATGAACCTATTCTACCCGCCAGGCTTTCTTCTACCGCGTCTTTCCATTTTACCCTTGGTCTTCCCCTTTTCCTTCTCCCTTCTACTTCCAGCTCCATACACATCTTTGGCAATCTTTCAGGCGTCATTATTTTCACATGTCCAAACCATTATAACCTTTTCTTATCAATATTTACTAAAATGTTTTTTTCTACCTCCATCATTTCCAGAATTCTTTCATTTTTTATCCTTTCCCTTCTGGATTTTCTTGCTGCCCTTCTCCAAAAGTCCATCTCTACTGCTAACAGTCTGTTTCGGTGTCTTGCATTAATGACCCAAGTCTCCGAGGCATATGTCGTAATTGGCTTGAATATAACCTTGTATATTAGCCTCTTTGTACTGGGATGTATGTTCGAACTCTAATGGATACTGTTGAGTAGTGCTGTGACCTTTCTTCCTTCACCAATTCTTCGATCAATATCATTGGTGGATTCTCTATTAAATATTGCTCCTAGGTATTTAAATTTCTCTACAGATTTTATACCTCTTTCAATTGGCGTGTATTCAGATGAAGTGCCAAGATGCTCTGTTTTCATGAAGTTAATAGTCAACCCCAACTTTTCATAACTCTCGACAACCTTTCATCAACACATATGATTGATATCCTCTCTATCCTGGGTTATGATTACTTTACATGAACCTATTATTTGCTGATGACCAAGTAAAGCTATTTAATAAACAAAACGTCGTCTGGCTCATAAATCACTATGTATATTTTTAAATTGAAATTCACTATGAACAATTACATCAGCGACTAAATTATATCTTTCACAATATATGTATATCGACCGTTTTACCGGTCTTAATTCATTCGTTAATTGGCTTTTACAAACAATGCATTAAGTGCAGATTAATTTTTTGATGTTTTTATAGCACACAAAACTATAGTTTTTATAGCACCGTTCAGCGGCATAGGATAGAAAATCCAATGCTCACGGTCCTCATTCCAATGATGGTATTTAAATTTAATAACCCGTGAATCCTCGATATCGAACACACTATTAAATGGTTTTATATCCAATATGAAAAGTAACAGTGGCGAGGGATGACAAAAAAACTCTGACATCTAGAATCCCTAATTTTGCGGTGTTATATTCTATTTTTCTGTGGGGTGAATTGTAATATTTTTGTCTAGTGTTATGCCTTTTCATTATATCATATTTTCAATGTTTATTGACTTTATGGGCTGTCTAGTATTTTTGTGTTATTTTGTTTCTTGTATTTTGTCGAGTAGCTTCTGTTGTTTTGCGTTGCGTTTAGCCGTTTTCTAACGAATTTTATTGTTTTATATTGGATTTTTCTTTTTTTTTGTAGCTTTGTTTAGCTTTATTGGGTTTGTGTATAGTCTTATTGCAATTTTGTATTATATATTTATATTAGACGTTTTGAATTATATTTTTCCGTACATTTAAGTGTTGTACATTTCCACTATATTTTTAAGTGGTATTTTTCATGTAGCATGTTTCATCGTATTTTCGTATCATTGGTATTTTTCCGTTGTACTTTTCCATTATATTAGGTAATAGTATTTATCATTTTATTTTAAGTTATATATTTCATATGTATCTTTCTTTGTATTTTTGAGTTGTATCTTTCATTGAGGGGGAGTGGTGTAGTTCAGTGGTAGGGTACTGAGCTTCTAATGATAAAGGTCCTAGGTTCGAACCCAGGCTCATGGCAGAAAATTTATTTGTTTCATTAGCCATGGGGTGACACTGGGTTGGGTCACCCAGCCTCTATACAGTGGGTACTCTTAATTAAGATAACTAATAAAGGGGAAAAACCTGACGGTTGGGCGTGATCTCCATCAAATCACCTTCTTGCAGATCTGTAGACCAAGAAACAGTGCTTTCTCTAAATAATACTGAACCCAAGACCCTTCATGGGTTAAAGTAGTAAAGGCTTTTTTTTTTTTTTTTTAATAATAAAAAATTCTAATCCTTCCTCTAAATCATTTTATATGCACATTGGTGTAATTGAATATTTGATGACTTTTACTGTATATTTTATTTTGTTACTGTATATCACATGGTTTTTATTACATATAGTGGCCATATTTTGACTGCAGAAAAATTTGTATCTTGCTGATGAGGCTTCTTGCCAATATAATGAACTATTATAAAAAGTTTTAAAGATTCACTTCTTACCCATTTTATGGATACATTGAAAATGAGGTTTCTGAGCTGTGCAATAGTGGACGAAACGTCCCCTAACCTAATAAAAATATCTTGACTGAAAATTTTTTTCATCTATATAATTAATCAGTCGACTATTTATCCATCTCTAAAGTTTTAAATGATTTATCAGTATGGTAGGATAGAATAAGTTATTTTATTTGTATTAAGTTTACAATGTTTTCTATGATGCTTTTACAGTGCTGGCCTTAGACATTCCGCACCCCCTGGCAATGACATCATATCCCTCCAAAAAAAATTAAATTTATTTTTTAAACTGTTTTATATTATGTAATATTTAAATTTTATTTCTTTAATACAGTTGCTTTAATGATAGGCTAAAATTAATTATTTTAATACCCTTTGCATTTTTTTTTAACTTCTAACAAGTGGCAAGCACCCCTGAAGATTGGCCGGCTGACCCACACTAAGGAACTGTGCTTTATGTGTTTTTAAGTTACTAGGATAGTTGCTGTGAATCCAAGTGACTTCAGCGACATTGAAATTAGAGTAATGTTGAATAAGTGTACATTAAATTTAATGTTTGACATGAAATAACTGTTATATCTTCGATTCAGCACCTAAGTCAGAAGTCACACCAGAACAATCCTCTGAAGTGAAATAAATGCTCATGTTTCAGCCATTTAATTTATGAATATATAAAATTATTTTGAACCCTCTAAAGAAAAAAAAATATCCTACTGTGAAAATGAAGAAGGTTAGAAAAAATTTATTGAAAGTGGACTACAATTATATGTACAAAAAAAAAAAAAATTCTAAATTAAGGTTTATATGTTTCAAGAAACTGGATTGAAGAATTATATAAATATATTTTAAATAACAGTAAATATACATTAATAAATTTATAAATTATAGTGATTTTACAAATTTTTATTGAAAATTAATTATTTGTAACATTTATAAAATATGTAATAATCATAACTTGCTAAATTTAATATCATAACGGTTTTAGATGTCAAAAATTTATCCAAAAGATCTAAATATCACTGAACGAAGAGTTCTATAACCTTCTGGGATGGTCTGGAATTGTTTAATGTATATCTTATATACATAAAAGGCAGAAAGGATTATATTTTAAAACAATAATTTATATATTAATTCATAGATAACAATAATCAATAAATTTTTAAATTTAGATACTAAGTAGGTACGACCTGTTTTTAAAGAAGTAGATACCAAACTGCACTTTCACAAGGGGGACATTGCTGAGGCTTCTTGCCAGTACGATAAGCCATTATATGAATTTTTAGGATTCCGTTTTCACCCACTTTATAGCCACAATTTTATGGAGACAACGATGATGTTTCTGCTCCTGCTCCGTGTGAAAGGTCATAACATGTTGTTTTATATCAGACACATTTAAGTCACAATAATGGCATTTAAATGGTTTCTCATCTGTATGACAGGATAAAATATGTCTTTCTATTCTAATAGGCTGTGCAGCAGTGAATTTACAATGAGGACAGTGTTTCCAGTGAAGGGCTTTCACATGTATTTTTAAGCTATTAGCATATTTTGTTGCGAATCCACAATATCGACATTTATGTGGTTTCTCATCTGTATGACAGGCTATTATATGTCTTTCTATTGAACCAGGCTGTGCTGCAACGTGTTTACAATAAGGACATTGATGTTTCTTATGGAGGGCTTTTATGTGTGCTTTTATGTTTCTATCATTGTTTGCTGTGAATCCACAATATTGACATGTAGGTGGTTTCTTATCTATATGACAGGATAGTATATGTTTTTTTACTGTACTGGGATATGCTGCAGCGTATTTACAATGAGGACATTGATGCTTATTATGACGGGCTTTTACATGTGCTATTAAGTTACGACCAGAGTTTGCTATGAATCCACAAATTTGACATTCATGTGTCCTTTCTTCATCTTTTTTGCAGCGAACAGATCTTACAGGTCTTAAATTGGCACTTGGTGTTCTTTTCTTATTTTTCCACTTGGTTTTTAAGTCACACTGGTCGTTCTCTTTCAATTTTTGTGAAGAATTCTGGTCTCCTACAAATAATAAATATTACTAAAACAAAATAATTAAATTCATGATAAAGGGATTAATTTACATTAAAATACTATTTGCAGGGGAGTTAGGTTAATGTAGCAAAAAGTATCCAATAATAACTAAAATAAATACAAATATTCAAGTAGTCTTATTAAACAGTTCTTCAAAGTTCATTTCTTAAAGTTTTTTTTTAATCCCTAAAAAAAGATCTGAAGCAACTTTCTACGTTTAAAATATGCACGAAAACAATTTAAGTAATAATGCAATAGATCATGAGAAGTGTGTTAATTGTTTAATTGTATCTTTGGATAGTTGAAGTAATGGCGAAATAACGCAGTTATAGAATTCAGGATGATACCATCTGTTCCTTGCGATAGGTCAAAACATGTCTTTTTACATTAGATCCCCTTGCTGCTGTTAAGTCACAATAAGAACATTTAAATGGTTTCTCATCTGTATGACAGGATATTATATGTCTCTTTATTATACTATGATATTAGGCAGCGTATTTACAATGAGGATATTGATGTTTTAGATGATTATTTTTTATAAGTGTTTTCAAGTTACTAAAATAGTTTGCTGTGAATACACAATATTGACATTTATATGTTTTTCTTAATCTTTTTGGTAGCAAACAGGTCTGAAATTGTCTCTTCTTGATGTTCTTTTCTTTTTTTTCCACTTAGTTTTTAATTCACACTGGTCAATTTAAAAAAAAAAAAAATTAAAAATCCTGGTCTCCCACAATTAATAAACATTACTAAAACAAAAGAGTTTGAGGAAATTGGTTTGGCTATTAATCCTCAAAAAAGCGTGGGCATCGTTCTAAATAAAGGAGAGCTGGAAACAGCGATGCTCTCCCTTGAGAACGGAGAGTACATCCAAACATTGCAGAATGGAGATACAATCAAGTATTTAGGATGTACATTCTCGGGAGAGCTACAGTTCAACGAAGATTCGGTGACCAAATTGAACGAAAATCTGAATAAACTGGTTACCTCTCCCTTGCTGAAGCCGGAGCAGAAGCTAAACATTGTCAACCAATATCTGTTCCCGGGTCTTACTTACCCTCTCCAAACTGCGCCCCTCATAAAGCTGCGTCCTGCCATACTTGACGGCATCGACACCATGATTCGCAGGAGTGTGAAGGCTATTGTTGGACTCCCTGCGAACACCTCCACGGCGATGTGGTACTCTCCCAGGAAGTATCGAGGATTAGGATTAATCCGCTGCCAATGGGAGGCTCCTCTACAACATTGGTCCATTGCTCAGCGACTGTCCAATGTGCCCGATGCCCTTTTTCAGTCGATCTTTGATTATTCGGCTGAGGTTGATGAATGTGCCGAGAGATTGGGGGTTGATCGGGGTATTCGGAATATGAGAGCTCTACGGCAGTCGCTTCGAGAAAATTCATTTGAGGAATGGACCAATTGCAGGTGGCAGGGCATTGGAGTTCGCCATTTTAAAGAGACCCCGAAAGCCAACAAATAAATGTATGATAAGCAAGTACTTTCTGGGTCTGAATGGTCAAATGCCCTGAAACTGAATATTAATTATGCACCCCTGCGTGGAGTCCCAGGTGTCAGCGGACAGGTAAGAGAAGTTGGGTCCCTCTGTCGCAAATGCGACAGAGAGCCAGAAACACCAGCACATGTGCTTGGAAAATGCCCCAACAACTCCCTCCTTATAACGCGCCGTCACCACAGAGTCAAACATGAACTGATGAGGCTCCTTATAGAGAGAGATTACTAAGAGATATTATGAATTAGGTTAGGAAAAGAGAGGAGAAAAATGTATAGAGTGAGAGAAGGAACAGAAAGAGATGTATAGTGCTAATAAGTGAATTAAAGAAATAGTAAAAATAAAATAAATAAATAAAAAAAATAAATAAAAATATAGGAAAAAAAATTATGATAAAAAAATATATATATATATAGATAAAAAAAAAAAAATTGTATATTATGCTCATATATGTTGTTAATACTATATAATTGTATATTAGTTTTGGAAAATTGTCTGTAGCGATTAATAAGTATGCTGTGTTTAAAGCAACCCAATGTAATTGGGCAGCACCCTTTTATGATAATTAAGTGATTCTCTCTCATAATAAAGGGATTAATTTATATTAAAACACTATTTACAGGGGAGTTGGATTAATGTAGCAAAAGTTATAGAAGTATCTAATAACAACTAAAATAAATAAAAATTGATATAAATAAAAGCTTACTATTACCGACATAATTACTTAGACAATATTTGATCGTTTATATCAGAGGTCTCTAAGCTATGGCCTGAAGGCCGGATCTGGCCAGCTCGTCCAATCTGGTCCGCGAAAGCTTCTTTGATTACATGGAAAAGTTTTAAAAATAATAAAAATCTGGTGCATGCAACACACAATTTCACTTACTGCTCAACTTTGAATAGAAATAATTTTCTGGCCATGTTGGGCAATTATAAAATTTTTGAATTGAATTTTTAACCGAGCTAAAGCTAAAAGATTACAGCTAACAAACCTAAAATACCATTAAAATATCAGTTGGTTATGGATTGTACGACTATTAGTTATTAAACTGTTATTTTACATCACAAAGTTTACTAAAACGGAATTAAGAGATTTGCATTGTCTGTCATAGACAGATCAAAAGTTGTCACACTAATTGTAAGTAGATACAGTTGGGGAATCAAAAAAAAAAAAAAAAAATCGGAAGTGGACACTAACTATCTGTAAGAACAAAAAAATTCTAAATTCAGTTTTGGATGTTTCAGGGAACTGGATTGAAGAAGAACTATTCAAATATATAAATATATTTTAAATAACAGTATATAAATAATATACATGAATACATTTATGCATGGTAGTGATTTTACAGATTTTTATTGAAAATTAATCATTTGTAATATTTACAATTAATTAATCATAATTTGCTAAATTTAATATTATAACGGTTTTGGATGCCAAAAATTTATAAAAATAAAAAAAAGTTACCCAAAAGGTATCACTGAATGCAGAAATCTGTCCAATCCCAATCCTTTCTAAAGTCTTAAAACCTCTGGAAAGAATAGTGCAGTCTCAAGTTTCCTCGAACAGTCCAATTTTTCCAAAGCCTTTGATACCGTTAACCATTTCATCTTTTTTTCTAAATTAAAATAATTATCACTTTCCAACCTCAACCCTTCAGTTTCAATCTTTCCTCTCTCAATGCACCCGAGCAAGTCGCTACTCCTAATCAAATTTTGTCTTCTTATCTTACTCTGTTTGCGTTGTGAAGAGGAGGAACTGAATAAGGAGAGTTTAAAATGTGGATAATGGAGGAAGGGGGCGGTGAATTGTAAGAGGGAGAAAATTCCAAAAAGTGGTGGAGTGGGTAATGAAGAAGTTTTGGAATGAGGCAGACCTGTGAAAAGGAGTATAGAGGTTAGAAGGTCTAGATCTCGTTGAAGTGGAGAAGATTGTAGGCACAGGACAGACGATGGTTGTTAATTATCTGGTAAAAGAATGTGTCTAGGAAATATTGTCTTCTGAAGGAGGAAAAGAGCCAACATAACTCAGCATTATTGTGGAAAACATGAGAACTTCTCAGGGTCCCATTGGCGAATCTTATTATGATATTATTCATAATCGTAATAAATAAAACAAAAGCTGAATTCAGAAGAGGAAATCGCAAACTAAAAAATACATCTGAAAATAAGTACTTGAAAAACAATGAGAGCTCAGGATGTGCATGCCTTATCTGTCAATATGAAAGCAGCCTATGATTCTGTGAACAGAAACTGCCTTTAGAAAATTAGACTCAACTGGGAAGTTGGTGAGATTGATGAAAATACACTGACAGACAAAAAATTCCAACCACTTGATTTTTTCATGTTTTCATCTAAAAATATTTCTGCTTTGGATTGGTATATTGTTTTTAATGAATAAATAGGTAATCTTTTTGTTTGTTTTCAATTAGGAATGTTAATACAGAGGACAATAATCCTTAATCCTTAATTCAATGAAATGATTCTAGATTCCAATGTTTACTTTCTATGGAATCAAAATGTTTATTCAGTATCATTAGTTCAGTGCCGTTTCTTGCAGCACATTTCTTAGTCTCCGGCTTTTAATTTTTTCAATATTAAGTTTAAAAATGCCTCTTAGTGCTGAGGATGTTGCGCGTGGTGTGGCACTTATTGATGATGGACGTTTCAGTAGATATGCAGCTAATGCCATCAGAGTTCCATATGAAACTTTACGAGACGCCATCAGGCGTTTTCGGGAAACTGGTCTTACAATAGAAGGTCAGGTTCTGGACGGCCTAGGGTAAAAGAACCACAGGATGACCGGTTTTTGACTTTGAGAATTTTACAAAATTTTACGAACAGGCACCTTACTGTTGTTCAAGCGATTCATCAGCTCGAAGAAGTTCGAGGTGTGCAAATTTCTGAACGTACCGCTCAGAGAAGATTAAATGAGTATGGAGCTGGCTTTTGCTCAAGAACACAGCCATTGGACTATGGACGAATGGAGTGCTGTACTTTTTACAGATGAGTCAAGATTCGCTCTTTGATCTCCAGATGGGTGTGAAAGCGTGTGGAGAAGAAGAAACGAAAGATATGCAGCCTGTAATTTTTCCCAGAGCCAACCTTTCCAACATTGGTTCCTTAATGGGTAACAAGTGGGTGGAATTTTTTGCCTGTCAGTGTATGTACAACTCACCCTAAATGTCAATTCCTAATACGTGGAGAAGTGTCTGAATATATTTTTTAAACAGCAATCCCGTGCAACATTAGTTTAAAATAGCTCTTCAACTAAATATTTTTAAACAAATTTCTAGATTAATTATATTTTTGTCTTGAGGTCCTAAATTCATCTTCTATAATGGCCGATAATTAATATCACAATGATAGGTCCTCAAGCATATCACTCGCTTATAAATAACTATGACTTTTAGTTTTTTTTTTATATTCACAATGAGGAAATTGTTAAGGCTTTTCATCTAGATGCCTAGATCATTTATATGTTTCTTTAACCTAATTATCAAAAATGTATAGTTACAGTGAATAGTATGACAAGCCATTATTTGAGTTTTTGATTTTCAGTTTCCGTTTTCATCCACTTTACAGCCACAATTTTATACAGACACCGATGATGAGGTCTCAGTTCCTTGTGAAGGGTTAAAACATGTCTTTTTACATTAGATTCCCTTGCTGTCGTAAAGTCACAATAAGGACATTTAAATGGTTTCTCATCTGTATGACAGGATATTATATGGTTCTTCATTATACTAGGAGATGCGGCAGCGTATTTACAATGAGGACATTGATGTTTCAGATGATGAGCTTTTATATGTGTTTTAAAGTTACTAAAATAGTTTGCTGTGAATTCACAATATTGACATTTATATGTCATTTCTTCGTCTTTTTGGCAGCTAACAGGTCTGAAATTGCCTCTTGATGTTCTTTTCTTTTTTTTCCATTTAGTTTTTAATTCACACTGGTCGATTTCTTTTAAAAATTTAAAAGAATCCTGGTCTCCTACAAATAACAAACATTACTAAAACAAAAGAATTAAATTCATAATAAAGGGATTAATTTATATTAAAATACTATCTTCAGGGGAGGTTAATGTAGCAAAAGTTATAAAAGTACCCAATAACAACTAAAATAAATACAAATATTCAAGTAGTCTTATTGAACTGTTATTCAAAGTTCATTTCTTAAAGTTTTCTTTTAATCCCTAAAAAAAGGTCTGAAGCAACTTCCTTCGTTTAAAATATACACGAAAGTAATTTAAGAGATAATGCAATAGATCATGAGAGGTGTGTTAGTTGTTTAATTGCATGTTTGGATAATTGAAGTAACGGCAAAAAAAATGCAATTGTAGAATAGAAGAAGAAACCATGCACAATATCTCGATCTGGCACTGGGGAAACTAAAACAGAAAATGCGAAGTTTTCAGTTGGATCACAGAGATATGCAGCCAACTCTATACTCTCTGCTGGTGTTTGCGGATGACCTCGTCAAATTGGCCCACAATGACCGTGACCTCCAGAACAACATTTATATTCTGAAGGAAGATTTAAGAGAAATCAATATGGAAATTAACCCTGAGAAGACAAAATGCATGCGCATTGGAAAAAAACTTCACAGGGTTATGAGGGTATTGAGAGTCGACGGTGAAATTTTAGAGCAGGTGGAAAGTTTCAAATACTTGGGTGCTCAACTCAACGAAAATGGATATATTGACGAGGAGGTGAGGCAGAGAATAGGAGCTGCTGGAAGAATGTTCGGCTCGGTTAGGAAAGGCTTCCTGAACCAAAAAGAGGTGACCAAGGAAACGAAGATGACGGTCAACAGATCAGTATTCCTTCCTATACTGACGTATTCTTCCGAGTTCTGGACACTTACATCGAAACACAGGAGCCAGATTCAGGCTCTAGAGATGCGATACCTGCGAAAGGTGGAGAAAAAGACTAAACGAGACAGAATTTGCAATAGTACAATCTAGGCCAATCTCAACGCCAAAGCGGTCGAAACCATAATAAAAGAACTAAGTTGAGATGGTTTGGGCACCTTGTCCATATGGATCGGAACAGAGTCGCAAGGAAGAAGTCTGAGACTCGCGTGCTGGGTAGGAGAGCGAGAGGATGATCCAGAATCTCCTGGGAAGAGGGCGTGCGAGATGCATTCTAGAAGCGAGGTTTACAATGGAACAGGAGACGAGAGTTAGTACTGGAAAGGTCCACCTGGTCCAAGCTCTACAAGAAGCAACCACACACTGCATAAGCGGTAAAGAGGAACATGATTATGATGATGAATAAAAAAAAATATTCAAGTAGTCTTATTGAACTGTTCTTCGAAGTTCATTTCTTAAAGTTTTCTTTTAATCCCTAAAAAAAGGTCTGAAGCAACTTCCTTCGTTTAAAATATACACGAAACTAATTTAATAAGAGATAATGCAATAGATCATGAGAGGTGTGTTAATTGTTTAATTGCGTATTTGGATAATTGAAGTAACGGAAAAAAAAAAAAAACGCAATTGTAGAATTGAAGAAGATACCATGCACAATATCTTTTAAAAAAATGTACATATAACAGGTGTAAAATCTCTGCAACAGCGAGATCGCCATGAATATGACGCACCTTGAAGTATGTCCTGCTTTGACAGATATTCGAATACTGAATTGGATAAAAAATAATTTTAATGTTCTGTAAATAGCGGCTCATAATAGTCCACAATTTGAATTCAACGACAGTTGCATACTTATTCCAGATTACTACTCAATATTTTTTTTTAGATCCATGTGCCAACTTACAATTATAATTTAAATTTTATTACATATGCAATCACAAGTGATCAGATTTTGTTTTGTTTTTATTAAGTCTTATCCATTCATAATATTTAAGTATAAACTTGAATTCTGAAAAATTAAACTCAGTTACTAAGACCATCTTGCATATCTCCATATTAAAAATGACAACAAATATATATAAAAGGAATGTAGGTGAAATGCTGTTGTACGACTACGAACCACTTGCTTAAGAATAAATAAGATAAAAATTTCTTACCATCGTCTGGCATGATCATTTCTTCTTCTTCTTTGACATGATTTCGAAAATCTATCAACATGAAAACAATATTATATACGAGCGGATTGGAGGAAATATGATATTATTCAACATTATTAGCATCATGTTATTCAATAGTTTTTCTTTCTTTAGTTATTACTTCACAGAAATCAAATCGTTATATTTCATCATTATTCGCCATAAATTTGGATTAAAGTTATGTTATTGAATATTGATAGACTGTATTAAAAAAAAAAAAAAAATGACGTTTCGTCAAATGCATGAATCTCAAGAACTGTAAACACGGTAATTCTATTTATTATTTACTAATCTAAGCTTATCAATAATGGGTTGGCTCGATAAAGCGTTAGTTTAAAACGTTTTGTTGAAAATGCAAGATGACGGTGTCTTAATGAAATTCTTATTATTTTAAGATATTATTGAAAAAAACCTTATTCAACTGCATCGTTCTGCATCCTTATTATTCATCGTAAAATCAACAAAACTAAAGGTGTCCTTAACGAGCGAAACGCGTGGCATTGGTTTCAAAAATTTTCTAGTAGAGATCTTTTTTTTTTTTTTCTCCCTACCTGACATAGCTCCATAGGGATAAAACTTAGTAGAGATATGTCCTTGAAAAGGAGGAAGGGCTCAGGACGACCGTCATCAAGTTGTAGGATCAAACCCATCATAGGATCAAACAAATGCTCATGATCTTCCCAAAGATTGTGGAGATCCAAAAGACTCTGTGTATTTTTGTGTGTGGATTTATGTTTTAGCAAGACAATGCCCGGCCGCATCGTTTCCCACGGACCAAGGAAAAATTTAAAAATCTTGATGGTATCAAACTTCTTGCACACCCACCATACAGTCTGGACCTTGCTCCATCAGATTTTTAATTGTTTTGATCCATGGCCCACTTCTCGAAAGGGATAAAAATCAATACATTTCACAAAGTCGAAATAGCGGTTCAAGAATTTTTCAACAACATTCCAAAAGCGTGGTGCATGAGATCAATAAAAAACCTTTGTACCAGATGCTATCAAATGATTGAACTAAAAAACTTCAGTAGAGCATATTGTTGATCACACAACTGAGATAACACTTTTGAAATGTCATTGTTTACAACTGGAGTCATGTCTATGCTTGACCCATAACATATGCTCAATTATGGAAATAAAATAAAATCCACATTTCTTCAGGACTTGACAGTATTATTGTATGTAATAGGGAAAATTCATATTGACGTAAGATTGTAAAGGCACATTATTAGAGTGCTAATTCAAAATTACAATGATATTTTATTAATTTGCTCAATCCAACAATAATAAAAATATTAAGGAAATAATAAAATACTTTGGAACAAAATTAGAGATTACAAAGAAATGAAAACTTACCAGTATACTCAATGTAATCTGTCTTTTCTTCTTTAATAACAATAGCAGGTTCACAGATATCTGGAATTTTTTTTTTAAATAAGTATTAGATCTAAATAAAATATACAATATAAGAAAATTTAATAAGATGAGAAATTTAATACAAAATTTTAATTTTTCATCTGTACAAATAAAAATTGATAATTCTCTCTCAACCACACCATGTTAGCATTATTTTTTTCTGAAAAAAATGTATCTAAATTGTTTAAGAAACTATTTCCTAAAAACTATTCGATTTATTGCCTGTTAAAAAATATTATTTATAGAGATACAACGATGGACCAAGCGTCATTTCAGGTCTTTTTCTTTTTTTTAAAGTTTGTCTTCCATCTCCCTCTTTCTTTCCTCTGTCCATTTCTTACTTTCTTGCTTCTTCTTCTCCGCTACAACCTTTATATTTTTCTGAATTTAATCCCTATTTTGGTGGTCTTCCTCTTTGATACCCTTTTTTTTTCTTACTTCTTGTTTTATTAGTTCCAAATAGCCTTTTATGTTCTTCAGCCTCATTACTCTATCGAATATTTGTTAGTTTAATTAATTTGTTATATGGCTTCATCTTATCGTAACATACAACTTTTTTTATTATTGGAAATTATCGGGATTTTTAATCTGGAAATCGGCAAACTTTGTCCATATAATGAGGTACTAAAAATACATAAACACCCATTTGTATTCCACATGAATCATAAAATAATTTGGTCACAAAATAGAGAAAATACAATGCTTGTATTAGGAAAAAAATATTAGGAAATTTTGGATGACCTCCGCTCCAAACATGTCAGAATAACAATGTTGTATAGGCCAAATTTTCGTAGGCCACCTTTTTTTTTTTCTCTCGATTTTATGATCAAATTATCTTAAGAATCATGTGGAAAGTGAATGATTATTCGTGAGTTTTTAGTATCTCATTATATTAATTAATTTAACGAGAAACCGCCCCATCTGAGATTTTAGTTAGATAACAAAGTTGTAGGTTACGATAACATGAAGCCGTTCATAAAATTTTAGTCAGATGTTAATAACTTCATAAAAAGAAGTCTGTACTGTGGAATAGAAAGAAAAATTTTAGGAGTAACAGAAAATGGTAAAAACTTAAACAGATAGATTAAACTCAAGATAATAAAAGATTATGAGAGTAAAAATAAATTATAATAAAAAAAAATTAACAATTAAATTAAATTTAAAAATAATAAATTAATAAATACAAATGAAAATGTTCCAAGATTTATATTAGATCCATACTAAACAAAACCCAGAAGGGCACAGGGCTACCAAAAAAGTAACAAGAATATAAATAGAAAAAATCCAAACTATAAGGCCTTGAGTCTCTAACATACTTGTAAAGAGTATATTATATTTATATCCAAATTATTTTATGTCTCTTTTTGAGATAATGTTCATTTATAAATAAATATAATAAAAAGAAACATGTTTTTCTTTCTACACCATACCGCTTCCTCAAAGCTAAATAATTTAAACGTTGCTCACCATTAACTGTGACGAGTTCATTTTTTTCTTGTTTCAAAGGAAGCAGTCCAGCTGCCAAAATAAAAATTAATTAATTTAAAAAAAAAGAGGAAACATCTAACTCATTCAAGAAGTAAATAAATAAAAAAAAATTAAAGTAAAATAATATTTCACTCACCGCAACAAAAAATTTCACTTGGTTCTTGTTTAATTTTAGTTACGGAGGCTGTAACAAAAATAAGCAATGATTTGTTAAAAAATATCACCTAAACATAATATAGCATAACATATAATAGAATATAGCCTGAATAATTTTGTGAGATGCTAAGTATATATGCCTAGTATAGATTTGTGGTAACTGTGGGATTAGAAATGATCTTTGAATTAATGTGGATGAAAGAAGAACTACATGTATTCCAGGATTTGATGAATGAAAAAATATTTTATTATTCTGGGACTGTTGTCCCTTTAGAACAAATTATAAATACAGATTGTATGCCTGTGTGGTTACAATTAGATTATATATTTACAATAAGAGTTGACTAAAGATAAAAATACTGAAGAAGAGAAAGAAAAGAACGAGGAAATTGTACATATATATGAGGAACTAAAATAACCTAAATAAATTGAGGTAGTCTCTGGGGGTGCTTAGATATTTCCCTTAAGTATATTTCGCAATCAGTCGGATTGAGAAAGGAGTGGGTGTTTAAAGAGGATAGGTTTGAAAGAGGAAACTGATTGAGCGTGTCGAATATCAGCAGGGATGGAATTCCAGAGGGAGGAGGCTTGTATTGCAAAGGATTTGTTAAACGCAGCAGTTCGGTGAGGAGGAGAGAGGTCGAAGTACGAGATCTAGTGGGACGGGATTGGATGGAGTATTTGAATTGTAAGCTGTGAAAAATAAAGGAGGGTCGATGATTTGGTACAGAAAGGTGGCTAGGAAGTACTGACAGCGATAGGATGGGTAGAGCCACCTCAACTCAGTGTAATACTGGGTAATATGCGTATCCCTTGAGATTCCGTACACCATACAGCCATAGTCGAAGTGGGGGAAAACAAAGGAGGAAACTAGAAGTTGACGGGACTTATATGGAAGGAAATATCATAGACGATTGAACTGTTTTAGGGTGGAGATAGTGCGATGTGAAATTTGGGAGATGTGTGGTTTCCAGGATAGGATTTGATCAAAAGTTACACCTAGGTTTTTAACGGTGGTGTGGAATAAGATAGGTGAGTTATTCAGGAGGAGATTGGGAGATATCGGGTAGGATTTGAGGAGTGAGGGGGATCCTTTCAAGATGGCTTTTGACTTCTCAGCAGATGCAGCGGTCTTCAAGAATAGTATCTCCTCTCTAGTAGAAGATTGCAGACCAGAGATTAATCTACAAGGGAGGAGGTAACGATAAGCACCTCTCAGGTCATACAACAGATCTCCTTCCTGTGATGAGTTTAGTTCAGGAGAAACTCATGGTAGCCACCTTACGACCAGTTCTAACCAAGGCAAGCCATCAACGATAATCTACAGCTTGTGCTCCACCAGCTGCACGACTAAGATACCCACAGCAACTTGAATTCTCTTATAAGGGACTAACTCCAGGACAGGAGAATAAAGGTTCAAGGTAGCGCCCTACAAGGTGGAAGCCTCCATAGAGAGAGGCCTTAAGGCTCAGTCCTCGGTCTGGCTCAATGGAAACTGGTCTTTAATGAGTTGCTGGGTGTTCTGGAAGAGGAGTGGTTTCCAGCTATTGCCTAAACGGATGATTTTACCACTGTTATGGCCTCTAACAGTAGAGCCGGCCTTAAGGTAGATGCGGAACAGTGTGCAAGTTGGTGTGAGAGAAAAAAAAAGATAAAGATTCAGCGAAAAGACGCAACCGCTGTTGCGTAGCTATTTCGCTGAAACTGCCTATAACCTTCGAACATTTCGCATTATCTTTGAAGATAAAAAAATGGATATCCTTTCTCTGACTACCGCTTTTTTATTTGAGGAGGAAGAAGAAGTGGAAATGTTGTTCATAAGGAGAAGGAATATGAGTATTTCAATGAGATGCTCATCATCCAAATCATCAAATCCCTTCTTGGACATTGTTTTCTATTGTCTAGATGAACAACCAAAAATTGAGGAACAACCGAAAAAGAAAAAAACGGCGGAAAATGCCGTACTAACAACAATAGTCTCTCTGATATTAGATATTATAAGTTTGAAAAGTAATAGTAATTATTTGATGTTTTATTCTTTTATCAATAGTAATCAGTAAATCCTCACTTTAATTAAAAAATACAAATCGATTTTTCAATGGGTGGATTTTAGTATTTACCTGATGTTAAAATTTGTTGGATTCTTTAATTTATTTAATATCGTTTGGATTTAGGAATATTTGAATTTCGCTGGAAAATATTGTTGGTGAAATGAATATTCTTGTTAATTCAACCTTAAAAAAATAATTTACTATTGCATTGTTTAAGTTTCAAACAATATTTCTTATAATTTTGCCTGACTTGAAAGAAACATAGGAAATAAAACGTATCACTGTGACTGTTATCATCAAAACAATGCTCTGATATAATGACATAACCTACAACGGCCGAACCGCCAACAGCTCCACTGCTTTAAGAGCGGTCAGATAGGAGCAGCTTAGATATGACGTCATACCTAGACTGCCGAGCAGCGAAATAGGTTCCTTTCTATTCCACTAAAGCAGTGGTCAACCACAAGCAGTCGCGGTCGTGGCCCGCACCAGCGAAATAATACCTTTAGAGCAAAAGCTGGCAGGGCTCACCCTCAAAGTTTCCGGATGGAAGATAGTAGTGGAAACAACCGTGTTTCTCCCAGACAAAGTTGTGAGCCAACTAACAGAAGAATCTCAAAGGGTCTTCCTGAATTTCAAGGACTACTTAGAAATAAGACAAAGTTAACATTTATTAAATTACGCTCAACAATAAAGTTTAATATTATGAAACAAATAAAATTTTTATGAAATAGTAGTAAATAAAAAAAAAAAATTGTAAATTCATTGATCTAAAAACATAATCCAATCCATTCAAAAGTTTAATATAAGACTGCATTAGATGATTTTAACATTAAAACTAACCTGAACTAAAATCATATGCTGAGTTTAGAGCACATGTTGAAGTTGATTCAGGCAAGCTGACATCTTTAACCAAATTCCCAGTTATTTCTGTATCCATTTTGGCTGTGAAAAACAGTTAAAAACTGTAATTAAAATTTAATTTGCCATTATTAAAGTAAAATTTATTTTAAATGATGATTTTTATAGTAAATGAAAATGTTCTTGATTTTTTATAATAAATAAATATTTTCTTGAGTTTTTATTGTAAGTAAAAATGTTCTCGAGTTTATATAGTATATAAAAATGTTCTTGAATTTTTATAGTAAATAAAAATGTTCTCGAATTTTTATAGTAATTAAAAATGTTCTCGAATTTTTATAGTAAATAAAAATGTTCTCGAATTTTTATAATAAATAAAAATGTTCTCGAGTTTTTATAATAAATAAAAATGTTCTCGAATTTTTATAGTAAATAAAAATGTTCTCAAATTTTTATAGTAAATAAAAATGTTCTCGAATTTTTATAGTAAATAAAAATGTTCTCGAACTTTATATTAAATAAAAATGTTCCCGAGTTTTTATAGTAAATAAAAATGTTCTTGAATTTTTATAATAAATAAAAATGTTCTTGAGTTTTTATAGTAAATAAAAATGTTCTCGAGTGTTTATAGAAAATAAAAATTTTAAAGATAAAAACAGATCGCAGCAGCCACAAGTGCTTTTTTTTATCTTGCTAAGCAATTTAAAAATAGTTTTATTACAAATGAGACCATAACAAGGCTTTACAAAGTCCTTTCTCGCCTGGTTCTCATGTACGGATCTGAAGCTTGGGCATGGAATAAGGTTGCTGATTTTTGAAAGGATGATACTGAGAAGAATTTTTGGCCTGATACGGAAAGATAATGGCTGGAGAAGAAAAAAATCGGGAGATGTACGCACTCTTCAAGAGCGCAGATGTTGCTAGATGGACAAGTGTGTGGGGGCTCGGATGCAAAGGATACCTCGCCAGGATGGATGAGAATGAAATCCCCAAAAAATTAGCTACTCTTATCAAGCTAGAAGCATATAGCGACTAAAAACAAGATTATTGGATAGTATCAGCGCAGAATAGTATGAATGGCAAAAACTTTTGGAGTGGACCCTGATTCAGCAATGAATTGTTGCTGAGGAAATTAAGTTTACTCTTTTTTTTATTTTTAAACCAGTGTTACTTACCTCAGATAAAAATACAAAACTGACAAAGTTGTATCTGAAGCATTGAAAATAACATTTTTTTTTTACTTAGTTATAAGATCTCTGGTTTCACTACAAGAATACTTCAGCATACATTCTAGATTTCTAACAGAGTATCTAGGAGATGATACAACCTTTTCAAACCAAGATAATGATTCCTTAAATTGCCCAAGTTTTAAATTGGCATTATTCCATAACCTCAAAGATTAAAATGGGAAACTTACAAGTAGACTCAGTCTCATCAATATTTTCTTCTTTTATAAAAACGGCTGAGTTATTCAGACCTGAAAAACATTTGATAAATTATAGAAAATTAAAAATATGACTAGATGTGATATCTAAAAAATCAGAAAACTTACAAGATGAGTCAATTCCATCAGTATTTTCTTTTTTTACAACAGCTGAGCTATTAACACCTGAAAAAGATTTGACAAATTTTATTTTTTTTTAAATAAAATCTGATTAGATATTTACTTTACTTTATAAAATTTAAAAATAAAATATGCTTGAATACAACATTTATAATTATTAAAATGAGAACATTTATAACGAGTATACTCAGTTTCAATTGACTTTTTTATTTTTATATAAATTCCAGAATTACTAGCACCTTTAAAAGAAAACAAGAAAGATGATACATCTTTAGTTTATGTCAAAAAATATGAAATAATAATTATATGAAATATAACTTTGCTAGAATTTTTAATTATTAACAAATGGGGTGAATAGAAAAGAGTTTTTATCAAGAAATGTAAATATAATTGTTTAAACCTATTAAATTTTTTTTTTTTTATTTTATTTCTTTATGACATTTACAACTGTATTACATAAATACATCAAGTAAATTTGGACATAATTGATATAATGACATGAATACACTTGCTGAGTAACTACCCAATGGTAGCACTCTAACTTAAATTAAAAAAGTAAAAACTTACAAGTAGATTCAGTTTCATCCATCTTTTCTACCCTTATATAGGCACGATTACTCTATCCTAAAAAAGAAAATAACAGCAATGACAAATATTCACCTTATTTAACATTACACAATATAATTACAAATGTCTGCATTACTACATAATTTAAAGGATTAAACAGAGAATATCTATCATTATCAGCAGATCACCTATATCAAAGATTTACGTCAAGAAATATTGCATAAATAAAATATTTATGAGTTATTTTTAAATAACTGTTATAACATCAAAAATTCAAATTAATTAAGTAAACAATAAGTATAAGTCCGAGATAAAAATATTGATACTGAACTATCTTCCTAACTGAATCAATGCAATAAATTATTATTGACATTCCAGAATCTCTACTTGTCCAGTCATAATTAGTCTAACCATCGTTATATACTGTAACTGCTTAGTAATAGAAAACATTGATTTTATTTATATTATCCTATTTTTTTAGAGACTAAAATCTCAGTAGATTAACTATCTGAAATTTCTTTTTCTATCATATATTGGTTTGGAAAATAAGTCCTTTAAGTTTTTCTGTTTATTTTTATGTCACTATGATACAACCCCCATGATTAATCCTTAAGATGGATTGTTTATCCTGTTTGTAATATGTCAACAACTATATCTGTTAACTCTTGTTAAAACTAGCTTGGTATTGCACTGTGAATATGGAAGAAAATATCATTCATTATCGCTATATTTTGTTGTATTATTTTAAAAAAGGTAAGCTTGCTGCAGAAGCTCATAGAAAAATTTGCAGTGTTTATGGGAATGATGCCTTGACTGAATGCATCTTTCAAAATTGGTTAGCCAAATTTCATTCAGGAAATTTTGACATCAATGATGCTCAACGGTCTGGTCGCCAACATGAAATTGTAACGAGCAATGTTAAAACCATTTGCACAAGCTCGGCTATGTTTCCAGGCTTAATGTATGGGTTCCTCACTCTCTAACTGAAGTCAACTTGGCAACACGCATTTCTGTTTGTGATTCACTACGGAAACGACAACAAAACGAACCATTTTTGAAAAGGTTGGTAACACGAGATGAAAAATGTATATTTTACGATAATGTAGTCAATAGAAAATCTTGGGGACCTAGTAGCAGAGATGGGCAAATGCTATTCTGAGTACTGAGTACCAAGTACTGATTCAAATACTGACCTTTTTTGAGTACTAAAGCATTTAATTATTTCAGTTGATGTCAATCAAACGATTAACTGAAGTAGTGATTGAATTCTCAATAGTGATTCAATTTGAGTAAAATACTTGGTACTCGGTATTCAGAATTGCATTTGTCCATCTCTGCCTAGTAGTGAGGGCTACTAGAAGAATGTCAAAACCCGGATTGCATCCAAAGAAGATAATGCTTTCCATATGGTGGGATTTCAAGGGTGTTATTTTCTATGAGCTATTGCCATCAGGACAAACAATTGATTCAACTCTATACTGCTCACAATTAACAAAATTGGATCAATCAATTAAAAATAAATGCCCAGAACTGGCAAATCGGAAGGGTGTTGTGTTCCACCAAGACAACGCCAGGGCCCCCACCTCATTGGTCACTTGTAATAAATTATTTAGCCTTGGATGGGACATTTTGCCTCACCCTCCCTATTCACCAGACCTAGCTCCAAGTGACTAACACTTATTCCGGTCTCTGCAGAACTCGATGAATGGAAAGAAATTACAAAAGGCAGAGGACATCAAAAACCACTTGGATCAGTTTTTTAACAATAAACTCCAGACATTCTATTGAACATGGCATTGTGCAGTTAGTGGAAAGATGGAAAAAAGTCCTATTACATAATGGTCAATATATTGTAAACTAAAATAAATTTTATGTCTATAATACATTGAGTTTTATTTCACCCTGAAAAACCTGACTGATTAGATATCAATATGACATTGTTAAAGGATTAAATACTTAGTTTAAGAAAAATTTGGATTTGACGAAGTGTTTCCATTTAATTATTCTAAATTGTTCCTTATTTTATTTTCAGTTTAGAAGTTTCTTGTTCTATTGTAGTAGTTGGCAAATTACAATTTTCATTTGATTTTTTTTTTTTTGTGTGTGTATCTATTAAATAAGGTGATAAGGACATCACAAGAAAATGGAGGGATTCCTGTTGCAATGAATCATAAAGTCCTCTGATACGCAGATGATATAGCTGTCCTAGAAAGTAATCAAGAGGACATTAAGAAACTCACTAAGACTCTGATAAGAGAAGTAGAGAAAATTGGCTTACAAGTAAATGAAGACAAAACAAAATATATGATAATAAGCCAAAAATAGAAGTAGAAGGGAAATCATTCCAAATAGTAGAAAATTCAAATACCTCTGCTCAACAATAACCTCAATGAATGACCAATGGCCGGAAATAGACCAGTGCATAACTAGCGCAAACAGAACCTTCTCCCTTTCAAAGATATTGAAATCCCAAAATATCTAAAGATATCTCAAATTAAGGATGAACAATGTTACGATAAAGCCAGTTATAATATATGACTGTGAGACCAAGATGATAACCAGCGCTCTAGAAAAAAATGTTGAAAGATTTGAGAGAAAAATCTTCCACACAATAACCGGAGCTATCTGGGATCAGAGTACTAACACATGGAGAAAGACCAATTAAGAGCTGCTAAGAAACTGGGCAATCAATATCTCATGATATGAAGGCATGGAGGTTAAGATGGACGGGGCATATATTTCATTTCAAGACTCTTTGCAACATTGGTCATATGTCGTCACCAAATATAAGTTTTTGCCATCTTCTTCTGTCCTGCCAGTCTTCTTCACGCATGCTCCTGTTCATCATTCCTTCCTTTACGCCCTCATACCAGTTTCTCTTCGGGCGACCTTTCTTCCGTCTTCTTTCTGGTTTCCAATCCCAAATTTGCTTAGGCCTCGTCCCTCTTTCATCCTCATCACATGCCCATACCACTTCAGCCTCATAGTTTCAATGGTGTGGAGGATGTTCTCCATTTGTTCTACTCGTTTCCTTATTTCACAGTTTGGAACTTTTTGAAGGCGAGAGACACCACATGATCTTCTCCAATAGTCCATTACTAGGACATGAAATGAAGTTCAACAGGAAGACGAAATGGAGATGCTTCCGTACCACTTGTAACAAAAATGTTTCTGTAAGAAAAGGAACGTGGTTAGAGGGATCGAGGATTTCTTTAGAACATTTGTTTTTGTCTAGTTAATATATATGTTGTAAAATAAGAGTATTTTTTATTATTACATTTGTTTTTGTTAACAATTTCAATAATATGAATATAATACAATAAATATGAATACGAAGAAAGGAATTATCAGTGCCTTATCAGAATTATCAGTGATAAGGTTATAAACATCGGCAGATAGCAGTCCGTCCCGACCAGCTATTTAAGGAGTACCAAAGATAGTTGAAATCATTAAGTTGAACTTTGTCTTCCGGTGGATTTATTAAAAATCTAATCATCTGAATTAGAGGAAATTGAGGCTATTATGTAAGATATAATGAAATAACTTAAAGTTCCATACAGAGCTTCTATTCTTTCAATTTAATTATTTTCCTCTTCTTATCTAGGGTTTCTGGTCTTTTTTTTTTTTTTATTTCTTAAAGACATTTACAACTGTATTAAATAAATACATCTAGTAAATTAGAACATAATGTATATAATGACATGAAAAACACTTGATGAGTAACTACCCAATGGTAGCACTCTAATATGTTTACATTAGGAGATCACGGAGCCATCTTCTTTTCAGACACCTCGGAGGGTTATCAGGAATTGAAGAGGAATCAAGGTTAGAAACGAGAGGGTTGGGATGATTCTGAAGTTTATTATGGAAGGATAGGTATCTGGATTGGGCCAGATCTGAAACAAAAGGAACATTAAGGTCATTATGGATAGTTTTATTTGTAACAAAGTAGGGAGCATTGAGGATTTTACGAAGGATTTTGGATTGTAAGGATTGGATACAAGAGGAATTCGAAGGTTTAGTGGAGCCCCATAGCTCAACTCCGTAAGTCCAAATAGGCCTTATTATAGTCAAGTATATGAGTCTTTTGTAATTAATTGGAAGATTAGAGCGTTTGTCTAGTAAGTGCTGAAGTAATCGGAAACGTCGAGCGGTTTCTTGTCGTTTCAGTCTAGTATGAGGATTCCAAGTTAGTCGTTTGTCCAGGTGGAGTCCTAGGTATCGGATTTGCTTAACAGAGATAAGTGGAGTATTGTTAAAGGAAACTGTAGGACAGGAAGTTGTTGGTTTACGACTTTCTGGTCTTTAAAATTTGTGTGGAAAAATATTTGATTTTAATTATTTAAGATGAGTCTGAGGCATCAGAGACCATTGTAAATAATTGTCTGTGTCTTTTTCCAACTGAAAAAGAATAAAAAATAGATAAAAACAATATAATTTGGAAATGGAGAGAGCATTGTATCGTAAAAAAAAAAAAACCTGTACCATGAAGGGTCTTGGGTTCAGTACTATTGAGGGAAAGCAATGTTTCTAGGTCAACGGTTGTGAAAGGAGGTGATTTGACCGAGATCACACTCAACCGTCAGGTTTTCTCTCTTAATTAATTATTTAATTAAGGGTACCCACTTTATAGAGGCTGGGTGTGTCCCAGGAGGGTCTCCCGACCCAGGGTCACCCCACGGCTAATGAAACAGATAAATAAATTTTCTGCCATGAGCCGAGGTTCGAACCTGGGACCTTTAGCATTGGAAGCACAGTACCGTACCCCACTCCCGCATTGGTATCGTAATGGTCAAAAACTTTCTCAGTATGCTAGGGGTTACTACTTCACAATTTGTTTACATGTTCCCCAAACAGTAGCAAGAAGAAGTCATAGTACTGACAAGTAAGTTTCTAAACCCAGTGCTCAGCTAATTAATGGTATTAGAAATTCATTAGACCGTTCCTACATTCATTGATGGATATCTTTATTCATCGGTGGAATCACCGATTGCTCAGCATTAGCACTAGGTGTTGATGGATGCACTGAATATAACCTTATTATAACCCTAATGTTATTTCTCAATTTTTAATTGACAAATACCACCATTAAAAATTTAATCAGTTTACATACTGTCCATATTTATTATTATTTCAAAAATTCTACAATTCAGTAATTAGTTATTGTCACATATTTTTACTTTATAATCTAACAAAAGTTTAACCTTATGCTAGAATTCAGCAGATCATTCCTAAACTCAGCATAAATCACTGTCCATAGATTCAATCCGCTAATGGATTCTAACAATGAAATTAGCGTTGAGTGAAGGGAGTTGACCAGCATTGGTTGACAACAGTAGCCATCCTTATTTAACTTGAGCACAAGTACATAAGTAATCCCTTTGTTTGTTAATTAAAAGACATTAATAAATATTTTAGTTGTCAGTTTTGTCAACCATATGAACATTCATACAAATTCCAAAACATCCAAGTAAATTGTAAGGCAGACATATAATTTAATATTCAAATGCTTCAGTAATATTGCGGTTAAGCACATACCTGATAATTTAAATAAGGGCTTGGATACTAGCCAAAACATGGAAATTGACAATAGGCATTATTACAAAACCAGAAAAATTGGAGTAAAAATACTGCGAGTGTAAGAAATTATCAGTACTGGTCGGGCTGTACAAAGATGGTCTAATTATATAATCATTTGAGGAATTAGAGAGCTAATGGCCTGGAGTAATGACTGCATTTAACATGGATTTGGGATTCTTTCTTGAATTAAATATCAATTTAAGAGATAGATCCTGAAGTGCTAATCCAGATTCTGTCGAGTTTAGACATATTTATTGAATCTTGAATTCAAGAAACTAATAAATATCGAGATAATCAGAAGTATTTTTATTGGGTGCCAGATAATTTATCATTCTCATATTTTTCTTATTTCCTCATTCTTGGGTACTGTCAATATCTTATCTAGTACTGACAGTGTAGTGCTCTTATACATGGGTACAACACAGTATCTATATGATTTATACATTTTACAGTAAAATGAGACTTTTCAGAAACCAAAACTCACTTGAAATCACTGAAAACGTTTAGATGTAATAATTCATTGAACAAAATGAAAAATACTTTCTAATGAGCAGGAAAAACGTAAACAAGAATAAGTCACTGTTAAGGATAGAAACCGTTCCAGAAACGGGAAGGTTACGCTAATCCAATTTTTTCGTTCTGTCAATAACAACGAAATGTTAAATTTATTTTCAAATTTTAATTGGCAAGTTCTTAAACTCAGCGGTGAGCTCATCGATAGCATGGTACATGCATCATTGCTGGAATTCTGCACGTTCTTTAGCCCATCGACTGAATCACCGATGGCTAAGCGGTTCCATCGGTTTTTGGGGTCAATGGATTCGCTCTATGTAATCTCGTTGCAACCTCAGTGTTGTTATTCCTCAATTTACATATTTATGTTCAGTTTACTTTCTATCTATATTTATTATTACATAATGTTGTATTATATTTTATATGCATTTATTACATGCAATACTGATGTATTTTAATTTATTTTACACAACGTAATTTTTATCATTCATTCATGCATTCATTCATGTATGGCACAACATCCCGTTACCGAGACTGGGCCTCCTCCAAGAGCCTCCGCCAGTTGGCTCTGTCTTCTGCTGCAGCTCTCCAGTTCCGCACACCAAGCAGGGTTCTCGCATCATAGGCCACGTTGTCCAACCATCTCGTCCTCGGCCTTCCTACCCGTCTTACGAGGTGCAGCTCCTCCATCATTATTTTTTTTGGTATTTCAAGGGTGCTCATTCTGGCCACATGCCCTGCCCACCTTAGTCTGGCCAGTTTAATATACGTGACTACGTCGATGTCTGCATAGAGAGAACTGAGCTCCCTATTTTTTCTTTTCCTCCAGACATCACCCTCCTTTACTGGACCATAAATCCTTCTGAGGACTCCTCGCTCAAAGACACTCAGCTTCATCTCATCCCTTTTAGTCATCGTCCAAGCCTCTGAGCCATATGTCAAAACAGGCCGAACAAGGGTCTTGTATATGATCAGCTTGGTCTTCTTTGAGAGGTACCTACTTCTTAAGTGTCGGCCAAGTCCAAAGACACATCTATTGGCAGCCGTGATCCTTCTTTGTATTTCTTGAGCCATGTCATTCTTGCTATTAATTTCAGACCCAAGGTATATAAAACTTTTCACTCTCTCAAACTTAAAAGAACCTACCTCAAATGGAGAGTTCAGATCCACCTCACCGCCAACTCTCATATACTTAGTTTTCCTCTCGTTGACTTCTAGACCAAGTGGTCTTGCAGCTGCTTCAAGGCTTATAAACGCTTCTCTGAGAGCCCGTTCAGACCTACCTACTATGTCAATATCATCAGCAAAACCAAGAAGCTGTGTCAGGCGATTGAAGATTATATCTTTGGTCTGAATACCGGAGTCTCTTACAGCTTTCTCCTCTGCCAAATTGAACAATAGACAGGCGAGGGCATCCCCTTGCCTAACCCCACTGCTCACTTTAAACTCTTCGGAGTCGTCAGAACCGACGCGTATTCTGCATCTCGAGCTGTCCATGGTCATCTTGATTAGGCGTACGAGCTTCTGAGGGATGCTTAGCTCCTCCAAGGCACAGTATAGTTGCGTTCTATCAACGCTGTCGTATGCTGCTTTAAAGTCCAGGAATAAATGGTGGGTGACTACCTTACGCTCCATAGTCTTTTCTAGGATCATCCTCAGAGAGAACAGTTGATCAGTCGTTGAGCGTCCTCTTCGAAATCCAGCCTGATATTTCCCCAGTTCCTTTTCAGAATACGGGAGGATCCTCTCAAAAAGAATGTTAGAGAGCAGCTTATAAGCACACGAAAGGAGTGAGATTCCTCTATAGTTAGCGCATTCCGTTTGATCTCCTTTCTTATGTATTGGGCAGATAATGGCTGTTGCCCATTCCGTAGGCATAGCTTCCTTCTCCCAGATGGTCAGCATTAAATCATGCAGAGCTTTCTTTTATCATTAAACATAATTTTTATCTACTTTTTTAAATTCATTTTTTGGAAGGGGCTTCAGTCCGAAAACTTTTTTTTTTATATATATATATGACTTTGATATAATTACTTTGAAAGAAAGAGAAAGAAACTAACTACCGACAAGAAATGGTGTTCAGGTGATTCTTGAAGTCGTATTAAATGTAATTAACGATCAATAATAATTTTTAGAGATATTTTATTTCGTAAAACATGGATATATTTCACCATTTTGAGGAGGAGGCTTCAGCCCAAAAGCCCTCTCCCTCCGTAGATCCGTCTGTGTGTTGATGTTTAGTTAAAAACGAAAAATGTATATTTTTTCTTAAATGATATTTTCAGGTATTTTATTTTCATTAAACACTTTATATTTTCAAGCTGAGAAAAAGTAAGGATACAATTTATGTAATCCCTAACACAGTATTGAAAATTAAATAATTCGACAAAACACAACCTTTATTATTTGTATTTTTTACTTTTTATTATAAAGTGTCCAGAAATAGCATTATTAGAATAAAATAATTTATTTCTGATTTATTTTTAAATTATATCCACTGTCTTCTAATTTCATAGCTCCTTTCCTCGCCGAAATAAACCTATTTCTTAAGGCATTAGTTGCTATATGCCACTTCATGAAACGTGTTTTTTGTAAAGAAAATACAAAATATTGTTGGCATTTTTTATTTGAAATACTTTTTCTGAAAACAACTTAAATACTTTAAATTTTGAAATTATAATTAAAATAGTTTTTGTCTAGGTCTGGTACTTATGGTGGTCATCGATCTCTGATATACCACAACTTGGGTATAGGGGATCAATCTACATACCATGCTCAACGAGCTTTGCTCAGACATCTTCATGTCCCACTAGAATCTATGAGGTGCTGTAGTATGTGAGAACCCAGTCGTTTCTAGCCAGGATCCACCAGTGAAAATTTATTTTCTCAGAGTAGCTCGTTTTGGAGTATCTTCTCAGTAGATTCGTAAGGCGATCCCCCAATACTTCCACCTATGCCTTAAATTCTTCCATTAAATACTCTTCTTCCAACCTCCCTCAAATGGTCAAGTCCGGAATTAGTAGTATAAACTCTTCCAGTCTTCTTGAAGTCTCTAAGACAACCATAGAGATTCATCGCAAAGACAGTGAGGTTTGGCCAAATTTGCTTCCTGATGGCCTCTAGCTCAAGACATGTCTAAAGACTATGGTCTGTGTTTAGATTGCCTATTCTACAACTACAGAAGGCTTTCTCCAATTTTAAAATTCTCATAAAGGTATGCTCTCATCCTGTTGTGGCCCATTGAGTCTAAAGAGCAAACCTTCCTCTTTCCTGCTAATTTTATAAAAGTCTTCAGGATTATAAGGTGGATGGGCATCATTCCAACTTTGTCCTATCGATGTTTTATTTATAAAGTTGCCCTCTTTAAGAGTTTCGAGTGCAATTCGCTTATAGAGCATGAAACTCCTTCCTTTATTAGTTGGTTGGCTATTCCTATGCAGTCCGCAGTGTCCATTGGAGTACTTCTCTTTTGTACTAGAGTTGAGGTTACTCAATTTCCCCTGCTAGAGTGTGAAGTCTGAAATTCTTTAACCTCTGATATTCGTGGTCAAGGTGTCATGGCATTGAGAATGGGTTTCACTGTTTGCAGGTTTCTTTCCCGTCCTATCTGATGGAAAAGTTCCCAGTGCTAACGAGATAACGTTCTTTTCGGTATATCTGAGTAGCTTTGCCCCAATATCCAGTGTATTCTGTAAAAATAATTTGCAAACTTCGATGTTTTCACTTCCTAGCCGTAAATAGTATTTTCTTGAATACTTTCTTCTGCTATTTGTAGCAGTTTCTCGTGCTTTCAAAAAAGTCGTAAAACAACTCGTAAGAAATTCACGTTTTTGAACGTATGACAAGCTCCAATATTCGTTGTGTATCATTTGTCGTTGTTCCTCTGAAAAATAATGTCGGCATTTCTTTTTACACGATTCTTTACAAGGTTGTTTCAGTGATCGAGATGGGATTTCGCCATCTTTACAATTAATGTTTGATTTGCCCAATTCTCTATTTTTTCGCATCACTGATCTTTTTTTCTGAGGGCGTTTGAACTTTATGCCACCTTTTCCTAATGTTCCATGATCACTATGATAATTGGAATCTGTCTGTATTACGTTTCCTTTTGCATCTTTCACAGAACCTGCAACAAGAATGGTTGAAATTTAGAAGCATTTGCAGTAAGAGACAAAGGTACTTGTGTAGAACACGTTCACATAATCATATTATAGATGGAATTATGAACATTGTTAAGTGTAGAAAAGTTCACTTGAAAGTAAATGATGACAACCAAACCTTCCACATATTAAACCAACTTAATCATAATATTAAGGGATGCAAATCAACACCTCCAAGAGTAAAGTGCTGGTTATGGCGAGGGAAGAACAGGAAGATGTACAGCTGATCTGCAGTGGCGAGATACTTGAGGTAGTGAGTGAATATACCCGCTTAGGGACCATTATTAGTAGCTCGGATAAGATAGACGCCGAAATATCAAACAGAATATGTAAGGCGAATCAAGTGTATTACCAAATTACTAATAGCATCATCGGCCACCATGAAGTAGACAAGAAGACCAAAATGCATGTATATAAGTCTGTTTACCTACCTACACTCACCTACGGCGGAGAAAGCTGGACAGGCACTCTAGTCGCATAACGGCAGCAGAAATGAGGTTTCTTCGCAGATCTGTAGGGAAAACTAGAAGGGATCACATTAGGAACGAAAGCATCAGAGAGCAACTAGGAGTTACAGAACTTAAAATCACTCTAGAAAGACTGCAACTCCAGTGGTTTGGACATGTCTGCCGCATGAACGAGAACATGAATCCTATAAAGATATTAGAGGCTCGACCCACAGGAAGGAGACCACGCGGACACCCCAGAATTACATACCAAGAGTATGTCCAAAGAATTGGAAGTAAAAGAGCCAAAACCCTCAATGAGATGAAACGGCTAAGCATGGAAAAGGAAGAGTGGTTACGCTGGATTGAGGCTCCTCGACGCTAACTAGTGGCATAAGATTAAGACAAAGAAGAAGAAGAATCATAATATTTGTAACAGTTATTATAGTATATAAAAAGGACTAATATCCTTAAAAAAAAAAAAAAAAAAAAAAAAGAAAATCAATGTTACTATTACTTGCAAGGTTTATAAATCAATTCTTTCTTGGATCAGTGTTTGAGAACACCACTGTTGTGGATTTTATGTAAATTGAAAATAACCTCAAAACTGCAATTTTTTTGCCATGACATTATTTTATTTTGGAAATATGATTCTTGTTTGAACAGAATCTTGGACATTCTGCTATATACAAAACTTTTTTAAATTCATTTCTCGCCTTCAATTAAGTAGCTGTACCATATAATTATTACTATGACTTTTTAAAGTTTTAGTCAGTGTAAAAACGATAAAATAATTAAAGTTTTCATTTCCAAGAAATGTTTTAATGTTCTTAAGTTATTATATTGTAATAATAAATATTTTTTCTATTTTCCAGGAATCTCTTCAAATTATTACAAAAAAAAAAAAAAAAAAATCAGATTTTATGCTTTTGTTAGTGAATTGCTGCTGGAAAAAGTGAGATGTTGATAGCAAGTATTGGTATCAGGAGCTACCTTTACGTCCTATCACTTTAAATCAGCTAAACATATCTTCTATGAAATAATTTTAAAAAGATAAGAAATTGGAGTAATCAATTGCTACCACCTAATTTTCGAAATAAAAATTCTTCCTACAATCAAAAGCGATCTTCGGCTAAACTGGAATACTATGAAATGAGGAATGAAAAAAAAATGAGATCTGTTAAAGGGGATTCCATTTAAAAAAATATATAACAATTAGAAAAATAAACATATATTTACATTATTATAATTTTTAATTTAATAAACATCTATATATTTCCATTAAAACACGTTCACTATCAGTTTTATTAAACACAGCATTAAAATGACATTTAATTTCATTAAATGATAACAAAAAAATAAATTTAAAAAATCTTAAATTTTATTATACAACTGGTTAACAAAAAATTATAGTTATTTTAGATATTTTCTTTGGTGGTACAAATATGGCAGGGATTGAGGAAACTTGCTGTGAGAATCTTCTACCTGTCACCCAGATAATGAATTAAACATTGGCAAGTTTTCTTGTTAGTGTTTTTTTTATTATTGACCAATGATGAACCAACGTCTCCAATTAGTTCTACAGTCAACAATGAAGACAATGATAAGGTTTTTTACCAGTATTTCTAATACACCTCATTTTAAAAACCAATTTTTTACTGTTTTATCAAGAGGACAATGTTATAACCTTTATGTTTTTAGATTTATCACAATAAATGCCTTTTAAATCACTGATTTATCCTGCTTTTTTGTCGTAATATCGACATTGATAAATCTACTCATTTATACTCATATGAATGTACTTCATATGTGTTTTTAAATTACTATGTTGAGTAGCTTTATAGTCACAATGAGGACATTTAAAAGGCTTTTCACCCAGGTGGCGGGCCATTATATGTTTCTTTAAACAACTAATTGTAACGGACTTATAATCACAATGAGGACAGTGATGAGGCTTCTCACCTGTATGACGAAACCTCACGTGAGTCTTTAAAGTGCTAAATGTCGCAGCTTTATAGTCGCAATGAGCACATGGATAAGGCTTCTCGTCTGTATGATGGGCCATTATATGTATTTTTAAATTACTAATTTTTACTGCTCTATAATCACAATCAGGACATTGATGAGGCCTTTCATTTGTATGGCAGGCCATTATATGCATTTTTAACTTACTAGGATATGCTCCCTTGTATTCACAATAAGGACATTGTAGAGGGTTGTCTGTTTTATGGGGAGCTATTTCAATATTATTGGATTGTATCGTTCCATCATCATTACGAGGACACCGAGGCTCTTCACTCGTATTGCGGGCATTTATATGTCTTTCTAAACTAATAATATCTGCAGTGACAAAGTCGCAGTGAGGACACTGTTGAGGTTTCTCGTCCATATGGCTAGCCTTTATGTGTCTTTTTAAAATAGTATGTGTTGTCGCTCTATAATCACAACAAGGACAATGATGAGGCTTTTCATTTGTATGGCAGGCTATTATATGTATTTTTAATTTACTAGGATATGACGCTTTGTATTTACAATGAGGACACTGATGTTTCTTTAACAGAACTGTTTTACGACTCGGCTCAAAATTAGCATCAGACATTTCTTTTGAATCTTCGTTTGTCTTTGTTTTTAATTCACACTTGTTGATGTCTTGTAAATTATTCAATGGATCCAGGCCCTCTATAAACAATAGATATTATTAAAATAAGAAATAAAACTTTAATAAATTAATTAATTTTAATTATGTTATTGGTCTTATAAAAGGGGTTAAGATAAAACAGAAAATATTATAAAAGGTCTAAAATAAAGTTAACAATAAACAATAAAATAAAAAGTAAATAATACTGACAAGGCATATTGCCCTATTATAAGATACTTGCCTAATATGAGATAGCTGTGAATTCCTCCTACATTCATGAATTACCAACAAATCAGGTCATCAACTAATGATCCTTGAGACACTGAACAAGTATAATTTTTCCTATTCAAAGTTAGCTAGTAATGAATGAATGAAAATTTTCTTTATTATTCTGGGGCAAAGTCTCTTAAGAATAAAATTAAAATTGCATTACATGGTGGCCAGGTCAGTTTAGGACTCATTGATATAATAATTTATATATCAATATACATGTGTGTGTGTATATTTATCTTTTTATTTTGCTTTGTTGCCCATATTAAATTTATAATTTAAGATAAAAATATATGAGGGAGGTAAATAATTCTATGATTAACAAAGGTTTGAATTTAAAGTTACTTAAAGTTGAAGCTGAATAGTCAGTCGGAATGACATTCCAAGACACTATTGGCATTCTGATTTATCATGTAAGGTTAAGATCGATTGATGTACTGATGGGCGTGACTGATGGATTTCCACAAATTTGTGATGAGGTGACTATCCTTACTACAAGGTAGATTAGTTTACCTAGGCCTCATAACTATTGTACATTTATGATTTTCATTTAAAATAAATAGTTTTCTTATCCCTAGTTTATATTTTCATAAACAATCTTCAACATTTTTTTTAAATTAGCTAAGTGGTGAATACATTAAAAAGAAAAGAAAAGTGGAAAAACTACTCAATTTACTTATAGAAAAATTAATTTTTAACTGTTGTGTATGTTTGTCAATTATTTTTTTTTTTTATCAACAAATTTATCTTTTTCGCAATATTTTTCCTTTATTTTTGTAAATAGTTGACTAAAATTTTACTAACTTTTGTCAAAACGATATGTTATATTAACATACCTCCACTTTTCTGTTGATGTCCAATGCTATAAAGGATAATGGCCTATTTGGCTTAATTTAGCTTATTTATGGCAACGTATTATTATTAATGGACAATTCGCCGGATCCACACTACCTGTTATCTCAACGTCAACTGAGCTAAAATGGAATCAGTCTGATTGATACATGTAGTGTTCATCATGACAAGCAATCCTTGTCAGTTTAAAATTTTTAGCAAAATATGAACACCTTCTTGGTCCTTTTGTTTTTCAATATAAATTTTGGATGTTATATTAATTTAATGCACATGGCAATGTTTTATATTTCCATGGTCGAACAGTTTTTCCTTAAGTCAATCACATAAAATCATACTTTTAAAGCATGAGAAACAACTATAACAAATGAAACAACTGATAACTTCAGTTATTAGGATTCTGAAAATGTCTGGGTTCTAAATGACTTTACATGAAGCCGGGAATTTTTTTTCAATAATAGTTTGATGAGTAGGTTAAAAAACTTGAAGAATAGTTTGTATAACAGAGTTTTTAACAAACATCGTTATTCGAATTTTTGTCTGGTTTTAAGACTCAAATACTCTCATGTGCAGCAAGAGAAAGATGACATAGATTTTACAATTAGAAATTAAATAAGAAATTTTTTTAAACTAGAAAAGTAACAACCATTTGAATTCCTCGGATTATAGAACTTTGACTTATGCCTAAGAATTCAATCATAGCATCCTTCCATAACCATCACTATAAGTCAAGCGACTAACTGATAATATTTAAGACAAAACCTAAAGGAACAGTAAATTCGCCAGAAATGATTTACACTAGCAGATATAAGAAAAAAATTAATAAGGCATTCAACATGAAGTTTTAAATGTCAATGAAACATACCAAAAATATTAAATAAAAAAAAAGTTTGAAGGCAGAACAAAGAACTGACCTACTTACTCAAAACTAAATTATTAACATACTAAAAATGATCAGAATTAGGCAGGATATATCTCAACTCACAGTGGTCACTTTTCTCAAAACAAAAAAACTTGAAAAGTGAATAGGTTGTATTTACATTGACTATTTATAACATTTTTTACATATTATTTTAAATAAAGTTTTAAAATATGAGTTGAAAAGGATAACATATTACCTAATTTAATTTAAATTATAATTCTTTATTTTCACTATCTGAATTAGTGCTATTTTCATCTTCATTTTCGTAGTTTGTTTCCAAATGCGTAATCATAGCTAAAACCTCTTCAGGTATATTTTTGTTCTTCTTTGGATGGGTCTTTCGGAAACTGCTCACATAGGGGTCAGAGAATACAAGGAGCGTTTGGATCATATCTTCAAGGATTTGTAAGCGACTCAAATTCCGAGCGTGAAGCTCACTGGAATATTCCTGAACTTCCTCGGATATCTGTCCTATCGGTAAGACTGATTTGTTAACGAGTTCACAACCATGAATTAATATTTCATGCAAGCATTGAGGCATATAACACCACGGATACAATGAAACATAAAGTTTTGCAGTTTCAATGCAGAAGTTATTAAATTTCCCGCTATCAATACGATGCCCACAAGACATTACAATCAAAACTATGCCAAGTCTTTTGAACAAATCTGCGTCGATGCCTGTGATTTTTGATGCCAGATCAGGATTTTCAAAAAATTGTTGAGCAGTATTACAGTAATTATGTTTCGAGGTATCCACTTCAAGGCCTAATTTTCTTGAATTTCTTTTATTCTAGCATCCACTTTTTCTCTGTCTTCTTCACTTATTTGCCATCTGCGTAACTCAAGCCTGTAAGCGATATGCAAAAGGCATTCAAATGCTTTTATCCAAGCATAGAGGCTAGAAATACCATATTCTAAACTTTCCTCTTTGATACTTCTTCCTATTGTATTGCTTATGTCGTTCATGAACTCAGGGAATGCTCCACAAAGATGGCAGCTTAGTCCAGATGTTTCCGTTATAGAAATTTTATTGTCTATCTTAATGAAGTTAAAGGACGAATGACAAGGAATCGATGAATTTCTTTTTTGGAAATTTTCTGGTAAAATCGTTTGTATTTGAAATTTTATTTTTTCAACTTCATTCAAGAAGAAACGTTCATTCTCTCTTTGAAAAATTATTTTAATAGGTCGACAATATTTTGTGGACGAAGATGACGGATTATGCCAAATATCTAAATCTTTTTCATCTTCATTAATTTTTGCTACAAATTTTAATGGAATAATAGAAATTGAAAATAAAACGGAATCATCATTGTTTAATACTTGTATATAATTACTATGTACTGCTGCGCTATCAAAGCCCCACTTAAATATGAAGTTGATCCTATCAATCGTCCTTCCATTGATCAATATATTGTTCAAAGTATCATAATGCACAGAAAGTAGCCTTAGCACAGTGTGTTCAATTAAGGATTGTAGTATGACCTCTGCAGAAACCTCATCAACGATTATGTCCTTAGGGTAACATTGTTTTTTTGCATATAGTAAAGAATTATAATTAGGATAAATATTAGCCCTGTGTTGTTTTGATATTTTCTGAACAGAAATATACTGACTTTTGGTCATTTTATTGTCAATATATAGTGCTAGTGCCTTTTCAATAGGAATTTTCAGAGGAAGCCTTTGAAATGAAATGAAAAAATGTTTTATTATTCTGGGACTGTTGTCCCTTAACACTAAACATACCATAACGGGTCAAATGACCCATTTTGAACTTTTCCATTGAAAATGCACGTATAATTTTATTGCGTTTGCACATTTGACTTCATGACTTTTTCTAAGTAATTAATGTACAGTTATAAAAATATTTTGTTTTGTTTTGTTTTGTTTATTCTGAGTAATCCTTGTTGTATACCGATATCTACCACAACAGGTCATTTGACCCGGAGAGAATTTTTTTGTTTTATGAGATTATCTAGTCATATTTGTAGTCAGTAAGTTGCACATTCTTCCAAAGACTGTTGCGTAAAGTAGTTCAACGAAAATAGCTCAGAATAATTTCAAGAAAATATCAAATTTTAGATTGAAAATAGCTTTTTAGTGTAAGAAAAAGTGGCAAAAATTGAAAGTCTTGGTAAGTACCTAGCTTATATTTTATTTTGATAGCTATAGTAATACAGATCATTTTTTACCCAGAAAAATGTCGAAGCAAACAAGACAGTACAAGTTCTTAGAAGATATAAATAATATTGGCGAAGAGTTTTCAGAAATTAGTGAAGATGAATTTTCTGAAAATGAAGATATATCGGTTGCAAATAAAAATGAGTTTGATTCTACAGATACTGACGATGAAGAGGAAAATATTGTGAATGTATGTAGTGGCCGAAAAAGAATAAGATTACTCACAAGTTCGGAAGAAAGTGAAGTAGAAATAAATGAAGAAAATGTTGCGAATGATGGATCTGTTTGGCAACAAATGCAAGTAGGTGGCACACCTGGAAGAGCACCACTTCATACATTTTTGCTTTTGTAATAGAAATGCTCAACATACTATTTTGTTTATATCATCATAATAAATTTAATTTATATTTTTATTTCCTTTCTAAAATCCATGTTTCATACATTCAAACATGAAACATAAAGTCGGGTCATTTGACCCGCTATGGTAAAAATAGGTATATATTAAGTCTTGGTATGATTAGTGTTAAGAACAAAATATAAATACAGATTGTATGTCTGTGTGGTTACAATTAAATTGTATATTTACAATGAAAGTTGACTTACGATAAAAATACTGAAAAGAGAAAGAAAAGAACAAGTAAATTGTACATAGTAAATATCATAATATTTTTAAAGAATGTTATATATAAATATCAAAACAACACAGGGCTAATATTTATACTAATTATAATTCTTTACTATTTGCAAAAAACAATGTTACCCTAAGGACATAATCGCTGATGAGGTTTCTACAGAGGTCATACTACAATCCTTAATTGAACACACTGTAAGGCTACTTTCTGTGCATTATGATATGTAAATTGTACCATTGCTCCATTCTAGAAGCAAAATCTAAATCGTTTTCTGAAGACGTCTCTAGATTTGCCTCACCGCTACAATTAATGAATGATCCATTCATTTCTGAACGATGGCATTCCTTAATATTGAATACTTTTTCTAACCATTTTTTATTTTTCAATAAAAATCTACTGACTGACCTATGACTTATCTTCCACCTTCTTGCGATATGACTACACAACGACTGGATATTTCTCGTAATTCTATTCCTAGACATTTCACTGTGCTCATTGAAGTCAGTACTTTTCATTATGTAGTTTATAACTGCATTAGCTTTGGCACCATAGTTTGATTCGTTTCTCCAAATATTAAATAAATACTCCCTTCGTATACCGGCTCCCAATTCTGAAAAATTACAACAAATCTAGAGAAGCAGACTGGCGCATTTGATTCCAATATAAACTTAAACATGAATAATAATTGAATCAAATCAAGCTGTCATTAAATAATTCAACTAAACCGTACCAATGCCTTTTTATATACTTCAATGAACACATTTTAATAACAACTATGTAAGTATGTAATCTCGGTTAAGTGATCAATATTTCAATTAATTTTTCTTTGTGAAAAAGATCATAGAGACAATGACAAATGTGATATAATGCTCCTAAATCAAAACCAATCCTATCGTACAAATTATAACATAAATATATCTCATAGCCTTCCAGGACAGATATCTATTCTCCAAAATAATATTCAAACAAGAATATCTTAAATCATGCATTAGAGATATAAAAAGTTCCGCTTAAAAAATGCATTATATCAACTAACTGAATTATCTTTCTTCATGAGTTAACAAAATATGTACCTCACCACATTGTTGGTATAACTTAATCAAAACTTAATTTTTATAATGAGTTTGTTTAAATTACTATTAGAATATTTTACTTTAATATATTCCTCACCACAATAAAACAATGAACCTTCCTCTTGTTTAACACCGACTTTGGGAACTGTAACAAAAATTCATTATTATTTATTTTTAAGTATAAACCAACTAATATTGAAAATTTTTGACTAAAAACAAAAGAAAATAGTTGAAGTTCTAAAAAACAACTAAAAAGTTTTCCAGAGTCATTAAACCATGATTACAATGTTTTTTTTAGTGCATAAATTTTCTAATTGCCAGCTATTTTTTATTAAATATTAGATAGTGATGTTAAGCTTGAGGACCATTCTGGGATGATCTGTGACTATGATACCAAATCTAAAGATCTGGTGCGCGCAACACACAACTTTCACTTACCACTCAACTTTCAATAGAAATTATTTTCTGACCATGTTGGGCTATTATAAAATTTTTGAATTACATTTTTAACCGAGCTAAATCTTAAAAAGCTTACAGCTAACAAATCATAAATACCATTAAAATAACAAAAGGTTATTTATTAAATGGTTATAATCCTAGTTATTATATCACCGGTTGATTATGGATTGTGCGATCTATTGATTATGAATTGTATGACCATTAGTTATTAAACTACTATTTTATATTGCAAAGTTTACTAAAATGGAATAACGAGATTTGCATTGTCTGTCATAGACAGGTCAAAAGTTGTCACACTAATTGTAAGTGGATACTATTGGGATATCACATAGGGAAAATTCATCAAATTATTCATTGATTTAATTTTTTAAAAGGTTACATGAGTTTTCGCAATAAACGGACAATAGATACCTAATTATTTAAATATAATATCTACAGTTATTAAATTACAATAAATATATTTAAGGTTATAAAGATATCCATGAAATAATTTTATTTTTCACTTCTTCTTTAAAACAAGTACAAAGAAATATTATCTTAAACAATGTCATTGCCTTGATTTTAAATAATTTTTTCAAACTTAAAATTTTTTTTTAAAGTTTTCATTTATTAGGTACCCTATAAATAATAGACTTAATAACAATTAAAAAATAAAGAGAAAATCCCAAAAAGTGAAAAATAATTTTAAAATTTGAATATTGAATAGTTGACCATTGCATTATAAAGGAAGGAGATGGTCCGGCGTGGCAGTCATAAATAGGCTAAATAGTGACAAAGTTCTAAGTGAAACTGCTAGCTGAACACACCTCCCTGAAGAAGACCTGCAAAGTCAGGTCGAAATGTTGGCTTTTTAATAAAATAGTTTTGCCACTATTTAGCCTATTTATGACCCCGGACCATATCCTTTCTTTAATTTTAAAATTTAATTTCACCACATTAAGGATGAAAACACATTTCTAGTGATTCCAAAAACTTTGACTAAGTAGCTAATTTATTTCATGAAACAATGAATTACATCATGATAACTAGCCCATAGAAACAAGAAAACCTAATAAATAACTGCTAAAAGCAAAAACACATAGCTGTTCAATTGTATAATAATAATAAGCTTTCTTGGCATTAATTTGTTTGACTAAAGTCACTCTCTTAGGGAGGAATTTTAACAGAGTTGGCTACAGCACAGAAAAATATGTTCAAATTATCACCTTTTTTTTTTAAATAAAAAAAACAAAACAAAACAGATTTGATTTTCTTGTGGGCGGGGTGGCCGAATGGGCTAACGCGTTGTGCACAGCACCACTGTTGCCCGGCAACCTGATTTATGACAAATGTTATAAAAATAGCCAAGGAGTCTTTTAAATTCCCGCCCACACCTCCTGGCCCAGGAAAACCCTGTATAGCCCTAAAAACCAGGGAGGACCCAAAAAAAAAAAAAAAAAAAAAGAAAGAAAAAAAGATTTGATTTTCTTTCATAGAATAACAATTATAGTATTTATAGTTTGTTCTAAAGGGACACTAGTCCCAGAATCATAAAATTATTTTCATTCATTCATTCATTCATGTCACTCTAGGATTGATAAGATAAAAATTTCTTACCATCGTCTGAGAGAATTATTTCTTCTTCTTGTTTAATATGATTCATCTCACTTCCTGCCAACATGAAAACAATATTCAATATGAGTTGATCGGCAGAAACATTGTGGATATGATATAATAGGAAATAAAATTAATACTGCCAAACCAGTTTTAAATCTACATAATCAAACACAAACTTGTTCAACAAGTGTCAAATTGTTCTAATGTAAATGTCTTTATTACTTATTTGAGCATTTATAATTATTTTAAGATTAATATTTTTAATAGCTAGAGAAGGAAACAATTACAAAAAGGAATAAACATGCTTGAGACGAATTTCTCCTCTCCTCCGATAGATTATTCAATATGTTTCTTTCTTTAGTTATTTCACAGAATTATATCCTTCATATTTTATCTCCATTGACTATAAGTGTTAGTTGAAGTTAAGTGTTAGTTGCAATTAATTTTCAAAGGGGATAAATAAAAGTAAATTTTATTCTGATACATTTAGTCCCCTAAGGATAATGAAAATGAACAATAGAAGTTAAAGAAGAGAAGAATAGTTGGGATGGACAGTCAAAAAAGAAGGCAAAAATAAATGATAATATTTATTTTTACATATGCCGACGTTTCGACCTGAAGTTCAACTATTCTTCTCTTCATTATCCACGATAGTCAACCATTTACCAATTATGAATAGAAGTTAAAATTTGTCTAGTACACAATGACAATCGAGAAATAATTAAATTGCACAGTTATGAACGTTAAAACTAATCATAAAAGATAAGAAAAAGTAAACAAATAAAAATAATGAAATTATATATAAATAAATGCCATGTTCAGATATTTGTGTTAATAATCAATATAAATGAAATAAGGCTGACAACAATAAAATACAAACAACTCCTTTCTTACATATATTAAAAACATTAATAGCTGAGGAGGTGGATAAATAATTTAAATGAAGATTTTTATATGGAAGTAAACAAAGAATTCCAAAACAAAATATTGTTCTATCTACGAGGGTGGTTTGATAAGTTTCCGACTGCAACATGAAAATGACAGCACTCGTAAATAAAAGCAAGTGAATTTCGTTGTTCATCTGTTGACAGTTATCCACCAAAGTTTCAGCAATTTCGGATGCGCAGTTTTTATGTAACAGTTGTTTGAGTGAGTTGATGTATTTTTGTAAAAATGTACAAGATCAAGTTTCGAGCTGTCATTACATATTTGTTTTTGAAAGGCAATACGTCTGAGCAAATCAAAGGTGAGTTGGATTCTGTGTATGGAGACTCTGCACTATCGTTTACAACAGTGAAATTATGGGCAGCTGAATTTAAAGGTGGCCATAAAAGCTTGGGAGACGATGAACGTTTGGGACGTCCAAAAACTGTAACTACGACGAAAACATCGCCAAAGTTCACTAAAAGGTGCTAGATGACTGCTGAATTAAAGTGAGAGAGATAACAGAGGTTATGACTATGTCAAAAGAACGTGCTTGTTACATATTAAATCAACATTTAGACACGGGAAAGCTATCTGCACGTTGGGTGCCACGTTAGCTCATGTTAGGCCAAAAATGTGTTCGAATGCACATTTCCTACGCTCTGTTGGCGCAGTTTAGGCGCAATAAACCCGAGTTTTGGCGCCGATTAATTACTGTAGATGAAACTTGGATACACCATTATACTCCTAAAACAAAAACAGTGGACTGCAAAGGGGGAACCGACTTCATAAAAAGCAAAAACTGTTTTCTCGGCTGGGAAAGCGATGGCGAATGCTTTTTGGGATAGTCATGGATTTATTTTATTCGACTATCTTCAAAAAGGAAAAACCATTACAGGAGCATACTACGCATCATTACTTGACAAACTGAAGGCAGAACTTAAGGAAAAACTACCAATTTGCAGAAAAAGAAAATCTTGTTTCATCAAGACAACACCGTCTCACACTCAGCTATTGCCATGGTGAAAATCCACGAATTACGGTTTGAACTGCTTGAGCATCCGCCATACCAGGTCTAGCCCCAAGCGACTTTTTTTTTGTTCCCTTATCTAAAAATTGCGCTCGGAGCAAAGAGATTTTTCGTAAAACGAAGAGGCAATCACCTTCGTGAACAACTATTTCTCAGAGAAAATACTTTTTGGATGGGTTACAGAGATGGGAACATTGCTGGTAGAAGTGTATAGAGTTACTAGGAGACTATATTGAAATAAAAAAAAAAAAAAAAATGTCTTGTATTTTTGTTAGGTCAGAAAATTTTCAGAACACCCTCGTATACCAAAACCACTCGTATCCAGTAGGTATAATACAATAAATATTTCTCACCTTCTTCTGGAACAAAAGTCGCTTCTTCTTGTTCAGGAATAAGCCCACCTGCCGACATGAAAAAACAGTTTAAAAACAAGACCATCATCAAATGAAATATCTTACATTGAAGATATAATAAAATACTAATATACCCCTCCCCTGTGTATTCAATATATACATCTTTGTTTTGTATTAGAAGAGTAGGAGGTTATAGGAGCTCAACACATATATAAGTAAATGAAAATTTGTTTAATTTGTAAAATAATCGCCAGATAGGAGAGCTGAAAAGTTGAGCTCCTATTATCACTTAGCACTAAATAAAATATGAAAGTCACTAAAAACTTTTTTATATAACAGAGAGAAATATATTAAAAAGTTTCTTTCTATATTATGTGAAATGTCCAAGTGATCATAGATGTATTATTCTCCTCCATTTACTAATTCAATACTTCTTTAGTTCGGCGAAGACTAACATTAAAATCAATATTTTAATTTTTAAAACTCAAACATGTGATAGGTATCCCATGGCAACCATAGCAGCTGAGAGGCACTTAGCAACAATTATGATTTATCTCAAAAAAAGGAACATTTTTAGGTTTTAAAACGGAAGGCCCAATACTTCCTTTGGAAGTATACCAGGTCTTGATGGCCGCATAAAAATCTTTAAAACACAACTTATCCCATATCGATTTGTTCACTTTAAAATCATCTGAGTTTTGAAAACTTCCAATTTACTCAATGACTTTCATTTAAGTTGTTGAAGGAATTTAATGATTGAAATTGGGATTTGTCACTTCTCAATGAAATTCCCTTTCATTTGATAACTCATTCATCAAAATCCATCGGTCCTGAGAGGTGGAAAAGGGATCTACACTACTGTATTATAATATAGTATAGATAATCTATCTTTAGTCAAAAAGAAGAAAAATTATTACATATGTTTATTTATTTATTGTTTAGTTTATTTCAAGTTAAAATAATATATATTCCTCACCACAATAAAACAATGAACCTTTTTCTTGTTTGATGGTGACTTTGGGAACTGTAACAAAAATTAATAATTATTTAATTTGACAAATAAAGTGTAACTTTATATAAACAGTGGTCGTAATAGAAATTGCATCAACTATTTCTTTTGATTCTTTTGTTGATAACGTTGGTTCCATTGAATGTTATCGTTTTTCTTTACTTATTTAGGTCACAAGAAAACTTTAACGATGTTTCTCAGTTCACTAACTTTTAACTAATACCAAGATAAAAGTTGTAATATTATGACCTGTATCAAACACTGTCTTCATCAGAAAATATTAAAATCATGACCTTACATGAAGTAAAAGAAAGTGTCAATAAAACGTTGATTGGTTAAAAAAAAACTTACTCCTCATCGTAGTGTCTGCACTAGTACTCGAATTGTGATTTAGTACACTCAAATTATTATTTTCATAAGGACTAGATTGAGTGGCAGGACACGATGTATTTTCGTTTTTTAGCTTCCTTCTTTGAGGAAACGGTTGCGATCTATCAGTAGCTGTGAGGGCCTTTTTACCTGTTAAAATATTTTAAATTAGAAATCATTAACGTACTTTAAATTAAATTTCTGTCAACGTAATAGGTAAAAATTGATCAATTAATGAAAAACTAAACACTTACGTCTTTTTCGTGTGATAATTCTTTTTTCTTGTAAACTCTGATGATATAATTCCTCCCTTTGTGGAGCTGTGGAATCATCCTCACCTATTAAAATATTTGTTATTAAAACTATATTTTTATGCTAACTTTAAAGTGTTAATTGATATACATCGCATCTCTATGATCATTAAAAAGACGCAAGATTTAAAATATTCTATACTAGGTTTATGAGAAAAATTTGAATAACAATCAAACAAATAAGACCTTTAATTTTTTGAGCGACAAAATGATTAGATGGTTGATTTTCCTTTTATTATCATAATTATTTAAATAGGCAAAGATAAAACAGTTCAGTACCTTTTTCTCTTTTGTTTCTCATCTGATTTTATTATTTTTTTGTTTAGTAGCTATTGACGAGTTTTAGTGTTATCAATAATAAAATTTTATAAACAGTGTCCATAAATAAAAATGTAAATGTTATTTTGTTTAAAACCATTAATCTCCAAAAGTTTTTTACCCATTGCTTTGAAATTTAGACATTTCAATCAAATTCAGGGGTGTTTTATATACAATTCATTACTATCCAGCCTTTCATTTTAAAATGGTCAGCGAAATAGCTGCCATGAGGTTGTTCTGCATGCTTACCAGAGATTTTAATTTCCCAGAGCTGCCTAGAAATGAAAATTAACCGACGACCCAAGTGGGAACAAAACCCACAGTGTTCAAAACCAGGCATTCTAGGACCCATGCCCGAATGTGAGAATTAGGAGAACAGTTCCTTACCCATACCTAATTTCCACTAAATATAACTAAATTTAAAGCAAAAAAAAAACTTCACCCAATAAACATCAGGCAGTGTAATGAAAACAGTAAGGATGATAAGATAGACAGTGTAGCATTTAAAAATTAAAAATAAAAACTTACAAGCATGAGTATCTTCTGTATTTTCTTCTTCATTCACTAAATCATCATCAATCAAATCTAAAAAAAAACAAAAAAAAAACGAGATGACACACACATATTAATATTATATAACATCTTCATTGTTGTATGAACTTAACAGGATTGGAAACCAAAAGTTTCTCTCAATCATTAGGATGGCGTTCAAATATTTTTTTTATATATAATCTAATTCTTTACAGAAATTATTGATTTAAACGTACCAGATTCACTGCCCATTAAACATCTTCCCTTCTCATCTTTGCGTTTGTGTCACCTATAATTATGTTTACGGAGTTTCGTGGTAGTTTATCATAAACCCATTCAAGTTTAGCATAAAATTCGCATTTGACTTCAACATAGCAGTCTTCAGTCGGACAATGTATGTTTATTAATGCAGTTTTAAACCAACGTCCTTGAAATGTGGCTACCAAAATTCTATCACTAAAGAATTGTATGTCCCTCAATGCACGTAGCAGTCTATTTCTAATTAAAAATCTGGTACCTAAACAATGATTCCCGCTTTTCCATACCATATAGTGACTTTTGTTCCCTTATTGAGCACTCCCCTGGCCAGCAAACCGCTTGCAGAGCCACAATGTCCAAATCGTACACATTAACCTCGTTTGCGACTGATTTTAACCCACTGCCGAATTCAAACTCCTTATGTTTCACGTACCAATAAACAAATCCCTATTTTTCAACTTGTCCCATGAATTCTCTAAAGCAGTTCCCACCCGGAGACCCGAACGGGGGACTAGTTTACCTCTGGATAATGAGCGTTTTACCTTAGGGCGATCCATGTCTACTTATGGAGTATAATGAACTAAAGATATTGAGTAGGGCGTTCAATCCTATGTCAAACACTCCAGCAAGTCTGGAGGGCCCCTCTCATTGTTGGTTAGCAAGTCCATCGGACTTAGCCGGGAGGAACTTTCCAAGGAATTTTCACAAACCATCCCCAGCGGTAATGAGCCCGCATGATGAGGTAGGCGATAAATGAAAAAAAAAAAAAAATTACCGTGATGAGATAGTATTGTGAGAAACACTAGGAATCTGCTATGCGCAGAATGTGGTAGTGGATATGAAGGGATGGCAAAAGCTGCTGAGAGAACCTGAGTGAATTGTTTATAAAGTTCATGATAAAGAAAAAAATAGGCGATCCATAAATCTAATAAAATGATCATCGTGAAAAGAACTAATATAATAAAGGTTATAAACTTAACATTGAACTTAAAAATTAAATATTTAAATGGCAAATTTAACTTAAATCAAAAAAACTTATAAGAAACAACAAAGCAATAACAAATTTAAAAAATGTAAACTTACAAGTAGAATCAGTTTCATCAGGCTTTTCTTCTTTAATAAAAACAACAGAATCACTCTCAGCTGAAAAAGAAAACAAATATAACTAAGTTTCAATCTTACATAGATTGAATAAATTTACATAGATAATAAAAAATATGAGCTGATCAGAAAATAAAATATTAATTGATGCGTAAGATTTAAATAAATTTATCTGTAACATTCACAAATATTAAAATGGGAGTACTTACAAGTAGACTCAATTTCATCTGGCTTTTCTACTTTTATAAAAACGCCTAAGCCACTCGCACCTTAAAAATAAAACAAAAAATATTACAATAGTTATGTTTATAATAATACAAAATAAAACTTCAGTTTTTTTGTTTTTAAATTGCATACTTGGTTTATTGAAATAGACCTGAAAGTAAACAATAAAATGTACAGACCCCAAAGATTAGATGACAATAACAATAATCTCGACTTATGTACCTCCTTCCATAATTAAATGAAAAACACATATAGCATCTCAAATTAACTTTTTCCAGGTTAACATGGTAATATTGTTACTGTAGTGTTCCCAAATAACTTAATAATATAATTCACCACAACCATTCTACATAATAAGTTGATTTCCAAATTTATTTGTTTGCAAGGACTAAACATAGCCAATTAAAAGAGTTTCATCATATTAATAACTTATATCCTATTATTTCTTTATGGTAGAAGGCAACCCTGCATTTCTAAATTAAAATGCAGTAAGGCACTAATTTACTTTATAAGGTGATAAAAGGAAGTAACTGATAAAGGCTGATAATCACGATTAATTTAAACAATATTATGTGGATATTATTATGAACTTATTTTTATTTCATCACGCTTTATTTACATTTTAACTTACATGCTAAATTCACCTTTATTTTTTTTTTACTTTGTACCTATTTATATTTTGTATCTTTTGTAGCCCTGATGAAGACCTACAAATGGCTCAAAATGTCAGCTTAAGCAATAATAATATAATTAAAAAATTAATACTATTAAAATATATAACTTCTTCTCATATTATAATTATGCTCGACCCCATCCATACCATTATAAATAATATAACCTACATTAGCTCTATTGCCCTCAATAATTCAAAAATAAATTACACATTAACTCATAATGAGTTAAAGCATCAACTCATAAAGGATTGAATGTTTTAAAACAAATTAAATATCATTGTATTCATGATTTGGGTATGCTGTTAACATGGGTATTTATAATTTTAAAAATAATGAATTTTTCTTACCAACTTCATCCATTATTGCTCAACATATACCCTGTAGTTGCACAAAATCACTACTAAATACAAGTAGAAAGAGAAAGTACAAAAGAGGATTGATTTTGTTCAATGTTACCTAATAGATAACAATGATTATTACATTAAAAATGTTATTAATACCTATAATAGGTAAAATACCAATCATTGACAAATTCAATCACAACACAGGTTGAAAACTGATTAGTATAATATTATTATTGAGCAGGTTGTTGATTGGTTATACAACAGGTTTTAATTGGAAAGGTTTCTAAACAAAGCGCTGAGCTCCTCAATGAAGGGCAAAGTTTAATAATATGGACCTGTTTTAATTTCTCAAAATTTTGAGGGAAAACTATAAAAACTGTTTCTCCTGTCCTATATTAAGTTTCGCGATAGATACTATTTAATCTGAACAATATTATACCATCAATAAAATCGGAATTTGAAAATGGCAATTTATTATATTATTATTATATTGTAAATTATTTCATTTGGCCTACAAATAGTCTACATATTTTTAGTCCTGATATGTCAACATATTTCTCTATCACTAAAGAATAATGGTTCTACATGACGCGAACCTCTTTGGTGTATGTAATCAATAATGAGTAAGTTTCAATACTCAGTGCTCTTATAACAGCGCAGAGATCTTTGATGTTATGTCGCATACAGTAAATATACAAATTGTAATTGAAAAGTACCATTCTTCCTTTGTAATTTTCTATTTAATATAGTTTTTTACAGCAATTGATAAATTATAATGAAATCAAACAATATTAAATAATCGATATAATGTATTAAAATCATGGATGATATTATTAACTTATCTAAATAAATAGATAGATACAACAACTCTCCGCGACTTTTAGCACATAATCGGAAAGATAAACTGGAAGACGATGACGTCCCTGTGATCTGCGCTGGAGAGGATGGAAGTCTGTCATTACTGGTCCAGGAACAGAAGTGATTTCACTCTCCAATTTGCCATTCTGTGACATCTGCATGAGATGGATATGCCGACCTTTCCGCTATCGGTTCAGGAACCCCGCAGGTATCGCTTTCTGCTGTTGTGGCAGGCATTGGAATGCCAAGTAACGTAACTCTTCTGGAAGTATCATTCTTATCAGCCGCATGTAAACTTTTTGGTTGTTCAGGAATATAAATCTGATGCAGTTGGTTTATTGGCGCTTAAGTATGTGACCATCTCCATTTAAACTGATTAAGTAGTGCAACTTGTCAAATTTCTTAACGATAGTGCCGAGTCTCCAAGAAGGCTTATTGTTCGCACACCATCTTGCTTACACCCTGTCTCCTCCCTGCAACTGTCTAACCTTTTGTCTTCTGTTGTTTGCAAGTTTGTAAAATCATTATATGGCTTAAGCGCATCTAATTGTATATTTGTTTTCCTATTTAGATATAATTCTGCTGGTCACCTACCACAGGCTGAGGGTGTTGATCGGTAGCGCAAAAGAATCTCCTGGACTTTGGTATGTAGAGGCATGTTAAGTTTCGACATTGCCTTCAATTTATTTTTTAGAGTTTGGATATTTTTTTCTGCCAAACCGTTCGTCGCTGGATGTCCAAGAACTATGATTTTGTGTTTAATTCCAGCCTTTTCACAAAATCTGGTGAAGAGCTCGCTTTTGAAAATAGTCGCGTTATTGGAGACTAAGGTTCGTGGAAACACATGAAAATAAAACATAGATTATAACAACTTAATTATTGTTTGAGAAGTGAGAGCTTCTTTTGATACACAAACCTCCACCCACTTTGATTTGGCGTCCATCAGTACCAAAAAATAATGGTTTTCGTACGGTCCAGCGTAATCTACATGAACTCTCTCGAAGTTCTGAGTTGGCTCTCTCCAAAAATGAACAGGAACCTTTTTTGAAATTTTTCTTAAATTGGCACATTCTGGGCATGAATTTATAAATTGTTCGATTTCTTTATAGATATTTTCCCAATACAAATACCTTCATGCTAATTGTTTCATTTTTACTATGCATATGTGGGTATGGTATAATTCTTTTAACATTTCTTCTTGAAGAATTTTAGGTATCATAATCCTCTGACACTTGAAAATTATTCCGGTTTGTAAATATAGTTCTTAATCGTAACAATCTTTGTTTAATATATCACTTTGAATTTTTGATAACTCTTCATCTCTAGCTGTTTCCTTTGCTAAAGTTTTGTAGTTCAATGAATTGTTTGAAATATTGTATACTGCTTCATTAGATATTAAATCCAGTTCTGTACTTATTTCTTCTTCTGTTGCTGTAGTTTCTTCTTTCAGTAGTGTTCTTGATCTGCATTTGCCAAATCTTCTAATTTGATATTTAAGGGCCTTAACCAAGTACGCCCAAGTAACGGTGTTAATCCGTCTGGAACAACGAAGATGATTTTTTTGAACAATGAGGATTCCAAGATTTTTAAAATTTATATGTTGTTTTTGCTAAATTCTTAGATGGATTCTAGAGTTTTGTTGGCCTTGAGGAGTAGAGGAAAATTTAATCGGTCTCGAAAGTCTACTAATTGAGGGGACTGTGATTTTTTTTCTCTGGAAATATCATTATTGTCCGAAATAGGTGCCTCTAATGCTAGGGCCTTAGATTTAGCTTCATTAAATATTTTTTAGGTTTTGTAACAGCAAAAGTTGTCTCATTGATTGGTTATTCAAGTCTCTGATGAACTGCGACAGTAACAAAATATCTGAAACTGACTTCCCATACTCAAACAAAAATTGACATTTAGGAATTCTCTTTTTTATTTCATTTGCGTAAACATTTTTTGGTGAAAATCTATGTCTTTCTACTATTACATTTTATTTTACAATTAATAGTTCCTTCAAAGTTTCATTTACTTCTTTATAATTTAAGTTACAAATTTCTTGAGGTGTGGCCGCAATTTTCAATAGTTTCTGCAGCAATGCTATTTAAGAAAATATTCTTGACCCGTGGTTTAATTGGCTTTTTAAGCCTTTTATTAGTAAAAAATTTCAAATCTTTCTATGTACTGAGAAAAATTATCTTTCAAAATTGTAAGTAAAGTGTTCAGACTGTGATTGAACAGGTTTAATTTTCATTTAACAACTTGAAATTGTGCCTGTTGATCCTCCAAAAATTGTGAAAATTTTTCGGCATTTATTTTTATTGTTTCCTTTTCTTTGAATTGAATACTTTTACTTTAATGTGTTGTACAAATTTATGAAAACTGTTAACTAAGTTAAAAAGTTAAAAACTGTTAGGAAGTAATTACTGATATTAGTTTACTGTGTTACATACATACATACATACATATGTGGCACGACATCCCGTTACCGAGACTGGGCCTCCTCCAAGAGCCTCCGCCAGTTGGCTCTGTCTTCTGCTGCAGCTCTCCAGTTCCGTACACCAAGCAGGGTTCTCGCATCATAGGCCACGTTGTCCAACCATCTCGTCCTCGGCCTTCCTACCCGTCTTACGAGGTGCAGCTCCTCCATCATTATTTTCTTTGGTATTTCAACGGTGCTCATTCTGGCCACATGCCCTGCCCACCTTAATCTGGCCAGTTTAATATACGTGACTACGTCGATGTCTGTATAAAGAGAACTGAGCTCCCTATTTTTTCTTTTCCTCCAGACATCACCCTCCTTTACTGGACCATAAATCCTTCTGAGGACTCCTCGCTCGAACACACTCAGCTTCATCTCATCACTTTTCGTCATCGTCCAAGCCTCTGAGCCATATGTCAAAACAGGCCTTACAAGGGTCTTGTATAGAATCAGCTTGGTCTTCTTTGAGAGATACCTACTTCTTAAGTGTCGGCCAAGTCCAAAGACACATCTATTGGCAGCCATGATCCTTCTCTGTATTTCTTGAGCCATGTCATTTTTGCTATTTATTTCAGACCCAAGGTATATAAAACTTTTTACTCTCTCAAACTTAAAAGAGCCTACCTAAAACGGAGATTTCAGATCCACCTCACCAACAATTTGTGGTACTAGTTCACAAGAGTTCCGCACGGATTACGCGTGGTTCACAATCACTTCGATCACACTTGTTCATGGAATCCCGAAAACAGCCGAATGTTGTCGTCTTTTATGACGTCAGCTATTGCCCCATAATACAATCCCTTTTCATGCATTTTTGAAAAATACGAAAAAAAAATACAACGTATTCCTTTATGAAACTTCCTTATTAAAAAGTTGTGTATTTACTAATTAGTTAATTATTAATTTTTATTATAACGGTTATTACTTTGAAAGAAAAAGAAAAAAATACATAAAATAATGTTTGAGTAGTTTCTTCAAGCCATATTAAAAAAAAAAAGCTTTTAGTAATAACATTTTTATTGACACCTCCTTACATGTAGTGGCTGTAAATACGCATATACTGTATAATATCTTTTATAACTGTGTATAAAAGATTTTTTTATCATTTGGATAATAAATAATTTTAAGTTATCTATTATCTTTTTTTTTTGTTATTCGAGTTTTTCAATAGAAGTTGGAATAATTGAATTTATAATTTACTTTAGCAAGCCTTTTTTAGAATTGCGCAATCGTCTATCTACTTTATGTATTTTTTTAGATTTGTAATAATACAGAGGGGCTATTTTCTAGTGGAGGGGGGCGCATTGTATGCATATACTGTCTCAATTCAGTTCAATACAAACTCAATTCAGGTTTCATGATGTGTAGCCTAAATTTCGAATATAAATCTGCTCCTGCTATATAACTGAACGTGGTTAAGATTAAAGTACTTAAATGGCGGGAAAGTTAATAGTAACTGGCCCAAGAGATCGGTCGCCTTCGTTCTCTTTCGGAGAAACACGAACGCATTCGGGATTCCAGGAACAAGTGTGATCGAAGTGATTGTGAACCATGCGTAATCCGTGCGGAACTCTTGTGAACTAGTACCCAATTTGTTATGTTGAACACAGTAAATATACAAATTATAATTGAAAATTACAATTCTTCCTTTGTAATTTACCATTTAATGTAGATTTTTGTAATTGATAAATTATAATGAAATCAAACAATATTGGATAAACGATATTATGTGTTAAAATCATGAACGATATTTTTATCATATCGAGATAAAGCGATAGATACTATATAGATACTACATTTGATAAGCATTGGAATTCCATCAGATGGTTCCTAAACTCATCGATGTGACACTGGAGAACTTCCTAAACTCAGCGCTGAGATCATTGAAATTCCATCAATGAATTCGCGCTGATTATAGAAACTTGTCCAACGTATTGTTGTATTAGCGGTTATGATTTAGTAGGGTAATTTTATGAAGTGTGGGTGGAGTCTGCCGATGGTGTGTGACTTTTATTGTGGGTCTCCCAGATAAGTATATTGAAAAATTACCGTTGTTTCATCAATATTATAATCAATGCATGTGCTACTTTAATGTGTTTTTTTTATTCTCCTCATTGACCATGTGATTCTAGATTTTATTATGTAATAATGAGAAAAGAATTTGCTCTATTTTATAAATAGTGTTTAATGGATTCACAATCATGAGTAGTTCAAAGTGGTTTAGGATCAAAAACCATTATCCAGATCAGTAACTAAATATACCAAGCAAATTAGGAGG